AGTATAAAGTATACAAATCTTCACTATTTAAAAATACCGTGTATATAATACGGTGTGCAAAATACCGAATGTATATCGTATGTGAAAATACTGTTAAAATACTTTAATGATACTGTAATGATACTGTTCGCAAAATACGGTAATACCGTATGTTAACAGTATCCATATTTTTTATAGGGTTGAAATAATTCATGAATTAAAACGTATCAAATTTTTATTGGATCCGAAAATTCAATTTATTATAATAATAAAGGTGATATCTCGGAAGAAATTAGTATGTCTGAAGAAAGTTCAAATTATGATGATAATATAAGTATTTCGGTTCTCTCACAAAAAATTTGGGAGAAATAAAATTTATACATGTCATACAGACGGCGAATCTTTTTAATATTATTGAACAACTTTGAGAATTTTTGAACTTTGTAATTGCACTTATTTGCTAATCCAAGTAATTTCAGATTTTATTAATTTAACAGGATAAAAATATGTTTTTATAGTTTTTAATATGATATTAAATGATAATAATTTATAAGGAATTTTTTTACCAAAACTTGAAATTCTTTCTTTACTAAATTTTAGAGAGAAGAATTTAATATTTATTGCAAAATTACTAATAGAAACCACAAAAGAATTATTAATATTCGTTCTCATACAAACAATGCAACAGTTGAAGTTATAACAAAACCTTAGAATTTTTCTCAAAAATAACATTTATTAAATTCATATTAAATCAAGTTATATTTTTTAAATGATATAAAAATAAACTTTGTAATGATACTTTTGATAAATTAAAACATTCTTATTTTCATCTTAAAACAACATATTTTAATAATGGCTGTGATCAGGATTATTTATTCAATTTCAACATTACGATACTTTTAAAATTCTTTTTACAGTACGACATTTGATGATAATTTTAATGATGATGTCATGATAAATACTATGCATGAAATTACTGCGTACTGCGTACCATGGCTGATTGACTTTTTTGTTTGTTCTGAGGTAGTACTAAATGCCTGTATGACTAACATCGGAGAATAGTGCTTCGATCCAGATGAAATCCGTCATCCGGATTACACAAAAAAAAAATCCAGATTATATCCAGTTTGATCCGGATTGAAATCCGGGTCAGAAATCCAGGTGAAATCCGGAATCCGGATCAGATTTCATATATAAAATTTTTTAGATTGCATATGACAATCCATATTAAAGATAATGGTACTTATTAATACAATTTGGTAGGTTTTTTTTAATTTTTGTAGCCTTTTTTCTGATTTGATTATTGAATTTGAATTAGCTTATTTTATCGTAATTCGGGCTGGCACTATTAATTTGGCCTGAGTTACAAATTTTGATAAAATCAGGCTTAAAAAACAATATCGCGTCTTAAATTATGATTTTACTTAATAAGATTAATAAAAATGTAAAAATAATTTTCACTTTAATTATATTAAATAAATTAATAATAAATAAATAATTTTTTACTAATCATCAATTTATCATTGTTCATGACAAAATTTATATATTACAAAATTATTTATCAGTTGCGAAACTAATAGACTATTTATTTATTACAAAATCTATAAAAAATATTAGAAAAAAATTTTTTTTTCTATCCGGATTCCGGATGAATCCGGATATTTTTCATCCGGATCAAAATCCGGATCAAAACCGGATATCCAGATGAAAAAAAATCCGGATTCATCCAGATTCATCCGGATGGACTAGAAACGGATCAAAGCACTATCGGAGAAAAAATATATAAAATAGGCGTACAAGTTACACTTTAACGATTTTTTTTTACTTTCCATTTTTTTAAACTTCACTGTTAACATTATTCAATACATTCAATAATATCAATATGCAAGATACAAATGAATGGGTTAATTGGATTGAGGAATCAGTAGATAAAGAATTTTCTAAATCATTTGAATATAAAGAATTTAATAATATTCAACATATTGGTACCGGAGGTTTTGGAAATGTATTTCGTGCAAAATTGGAAAAATAATAAAAAAAAAATAATTAATAAAATGAACTTTGTGAAATCTTGCAATCAAAAGAATATTATATTTATTAAGGTGACTTTTATAAATACCTGACCCAATTTTTGTTATTCCATAGCAACGAATAATATTATCATGAAAATCAACTTCGCGTTGAATTTTTAACTGAATAAAATATAAAATATTTGAAATAAATATATTTGATAAAATTTTATAGACGAAAAAAAATGTATTATATATTAAAATACCTCACGAATGATTTCTTTCATGATGATGTTATCAAGATTAAAAAAAGATTTTAACGCAAATTGCTTTTCTGAATATTTCGTAAAATATTCTACCAATAGTAGTTAAAAAAAGTTCATCAATATTAATTGCTTCATGGAAGAATATCATGATTTTTATAGAAACCCAATAATATTTGAACAATATCATCAAAATCATTTTGATATTTTTGTTATCTGTTATTTTAAGGTTTAGATATTTATTAAGGTGTCAATTATGTTATTATAACAAGAAAGTTATTCAACTTAATTGGTTGTTTAACATACCCACCCCCTTTAAATAATCTAAATTTTGATAAACAATTCACTTTTAATCAAAGGTTAAAAATTTTCAAATTTCTCAAAATTCCAAAATTTTATTGTTTGCTTATTGTAAATCTTACTCTCTCAAACTTTTCAGAAAAATAATTAAGTTAAAACATTCTAATAAAACAATATCAAAATGATGATATTTCAGGAAATAAATATAACTTATGTCATGTTTTCATATCAAATAAATTATTTTCTTTTTCCCACAAATTTCATATAAGTCCTATTATTTCTGCACATTTATTTTTCTATAACCTTTTATTTTTTTTTTCAAACAAAAAAAAAATTAATAATACCTTGTTTTTTTTATAAAAAATATTTTAACTAAAATTTCTACATTAAAAACAAACATAACTTATACAATATCTACTCTTAACAAATAATCATATTTGTATTTATGGTTTTAATATACCATTTGTTGGTCATATTACTCATATATAATATATTTGTCTTTAAACTTTAAACCAACCCCATTATTATCACCAACATTTACAGCCTTGGCAAATTAAAAATGCTGTAATCAAGTGGCCACACGAATGATTTCTACTCATTTACTTAATTGTTACTTTCTAAAGTATTGGATTAATATTCATTCATATCAGATCTTTGGCCTTATATTGTTCTTAATAATGTGAATGAAGCAAGCCTATCTATTCTTTTAGATCTTATCAATCATCACAGAGAGATAAAATAAAAGATCATTCAAACAATTTTACATTTGAAGACTGCTTGTGATCCACTATCACTTCAGTTCAGGACATGGCATTGAGAAAAGAATTTTGGGATTTATATGGATTCAAGAAATCAGGAGGTGTACTTCTCTTTTTAGAAATGAATTTCATTTAATGTCAAAGAAATAGTGTTTTGATCCGTTGCCGGGTTCAACCGGATAAACCCGGATAATTTTTTTTTTTAGGTATCCGGATAATTACGGTTTTTACCCGGATAAATATCCGGATAAAAAATGGTCGGATTGACCCGGAATCCGGATAAAAAATAAAAAAAAATTTTAAAAAAATTTAAATCATAACATTTCATATATTTTCAGATGAGTTAAAATATTATATATGATTACTTTAAATATTTTTTTTTATTGTTTTAATTATTCGTTAACCACAAGGAAAAATTTTAAGTTATGTCACAAGATTTGTCACATAATTTGAATTTAATATATTAAATTTGTGGCATTTATTATTGATTTGTTTTCAGATATAATGTGTTCTGTGGGTGGTGTTATTCCATGCTTAACAACAGATCCATCATATTTATAACTTTTTGTACATTTTCTCCATTATCTGATATAAACTGACAATATGCACGTATTTCTCCATTTTCACTTTGTTTTCTAACAAAATATTCCCATACCCAACTCACTTTTGTTTGTGGTTTAGTCATTGTAGTAGTTAGTTTAAAGGGATTTGGATTATTTGATATTTGACTTGTTAATTCAAGTACAGTTAACTTATTTTACTAGCACTTATCATCCTTTATTTTCCAAGTGTCCTAGATAATTTTTTAGGTCATCCTCTTTTTAGTATTAGAGCAATTTCTGTAACTTCATCNTTTTCCATAATTTTATGAATTATTTTCCACTATTCAAAAATATGTTTCAAGTGAAATTACAAAAAAATCCAAGAAAATGATTACAGTATTTATTTATTTTGGTTAGGGCTTAGGACTACATTAACTAACTGTACTTAAATTTATAAATAAAAAAATAAACGCTATAAATAAATTTTTATATCAATCCCACGAAATTTAATTGTCATAAATTTAATAAATGCCACGAATTTAGTAGTTAATTAAATGCCATATATTTAATTAATTAAATGCCACATTAAATTAAATGAATGCCACGAATTTTATTTATTAAAAATAAAAATGATCTACAGTAAAAAAAATTTATATAATTTTATCCGGATTTCGGTTTCTACCCGGATATATCCGGATTTTTATCCGAGTCGGATAATCCGGATAGAAACTGGATATTTTTTTTAATTTATCCGGATGACGGTTTCTGCCCGGATCGAAACACTACAAAGAAATAATAATAAAATAATTAAAGGAGAAAAATGATATGTTTTTTTATCTCTGATGGGGTGACTTTAAATTGCACACATGGATTTCCAGACAGAAGAAACATTCGAGCAGCATTAATATTAATTTTGTGCAATATCCCTGCTGCAAGGAAAATATGCGGACATATTTCAGCAGTATTTCAGCCTTGGTTTCTTGTCATTGGTGTTGTACAAAAGTATTTCAACATTAATGAAATTAATGAATCTTATATACTATAGTGAGGACATTTCCTATTCTGCACTCAAGTTATAGCACATGGTTCTGTAATAGTGGTTTTGATACTTGTACTTTTTGCTTCATCACAATACTGGAGTACTATGCTATTGCAATTGGTAATCTTTTAAAAAACATCAGATTCAAACATGATAAAATATTAATTCTTGACTTGTCATATTAACAGTAAATTGACAATAAAGTCAAAGTACAAGAAGTCTTAAATCCAAGGGTATTTAATTTTAAATTCTTACTTCAGTTTATAATGATTTGAATTTAATGTATTCAATAACTTAATGTAAATAATTGACATTTTGTATATGGTAATTAATTCACAATAACCTTATTCAATTATATGTTACTTTTTACTTTTTCTAATAAAAGAATTGACAGAAATCATCATTGCATTTATGTTTCTTACCCATAAGAATATATTCTTGTTCTTTATTGTAGTATAAATAATGATCTCAAGATTTTATCATATAGTAAAGGATATACAATGGTTAATTATGAGATTAATGAAAGCTTGCTCCATAAGACAAAGGAGAAGACTCAGAAGATTCATGGCTGTGTCTTCATAAGAAATGCACCATGAATCCTATGTATTATATTTATAACACATCATTTGTCCATTAACTTTTATATACTAGCTAAACTATAAAACTAATAATGATTTTTTAAAAATATTATATTCTAGTTTAATAAATAATCATTTTTAGCACTCAAGTACTATCTAATGCTGAAACAATCATATATTTCACTCCAACTTGATATTAATTCAATCCAGATTTTGAACTGTTAATTAAACCTAATAAAAGTTTCTAATTGTTTTATATTTTAGAAATGAATTGTACATATTTCCAAATGAAATATTTGAAAAATATTTTTTATGTTTTTTTTTCATGATTTGTTTTAACATGTATAAGTAATGATAAGTAAGTATTTAGTCATTCAAGAAATTCTACTTCAATTTATGATAGATAAGCTGCATATTATACTAAAAATGCATTTTTTATCATAGACAATCTTTAAAAACAAAGATAGAACTTATGAATTATCTTCATAAATATTATAATCAAAATAAACATGATTTTCAGTATCTCACATTTTATCACTTAATTTGAAAATAATGCTTATTAGTTTTATACATTACTAATAATTTAATTAGAAAAAGAATACTTTAGCAATAACTTGAGAATGAACTTTCTCAATGAAAAAATCAATATTAATCAGATGATCAAAAATTGAATTATTATACTATTAAAGAAAATTATTATTGGTATGCTTATTTTGAAGCTGACGAAGAATTTTTCATCAGAAAGAATTGATAAGTTTGATAATGAACTTCTTGTATGGATTAAATCAGAAATTCATATGGATTTAATATATACTACTATATATGTATATATCCAGCAGAAAAAGATACTTGTCAATGTCTACATAAGGTAATACATGTAAACATTTACATGCAGCAATTTTATGTAATAATTGGATGCGTCAACAACCTGGTAATTTTCATCCGCCTGAAATTAAATTACCAACATGAGAAGAAATTCAATATTTCGAAAAAAAAATCTTAATAAATGTTAATTTATTTAAATTGATTAATTTATAAATATCATAATTTCAATTCAATGAATCTAATACTGAAAAGGTGGATTATTTCAGCAGAGATATCCGATTTTAATGATCACATTCTGGATTGGTTGGAAGGATTCGTGACTGTATTTAATAGAGCGTGCAAAAAAATATATACAGTAGGTTATTTCGTTATTTGTTAAAACGTTTTTCTGGCAAGCTTTTTGGATTTGATCTAAGTTAATATTTACAGAATGTGTATTTTTTCCGATGCACGCATATTATACATATTATACATGTAGCCGGAATTTTCCGAAAATATGGCCGAATTCGAAAGGTTCAAATTTATTGAATGAGGAAATTTGTAAGCTTTATTAGTGAATGTTAATCTATAAAATGTTTAAATCCAGATATGAATATTTCAATATTCAGGAGCAAATATTTTCTCTTTCAAATATATACGAGCTATATTGTTATCGTACAATTAATTGATCAAAATTATTATCATGAGTTGGCACAAATATGCAGTTCAATAGAAAAAATTTATGTAAGAATTGGTTATAGAGAAATTCACGGAATTGTTGAATTAGTTGAAATGAAAAAAACCAATTAAATACATATTTATGGATGGATCTTATGAATGCAAAGAAATTATTCAGGCTTTAGAAAAATATTTAAATTCAATTATTCATTTAGAAACAACTAGGTATGCATTTTTCCTACACTTTCTCATTCCAAAATTAATTAAAGTTGCAAATAGTTTACTTTTATTTGGCGCCACACCAGATTCTCATTTCTGCGGATCCTTTGCAAGATGACTCATTAAAGTAAATAAAATCATAATTTCACAAACAACTTTTTGTATAACAAGTAGATATCCTTATCAACCATTTCTAACCCACTCCTCATTTTATTTTTTTTAAAAAATTTCTTATTTTATCCTATTTTAAAAAGGTCTAAAAGGGTTAGACAATAAGTTTTAATCAAAATAAATAACCTCAACGTAAGTTATACACAAAAAAATTTTTTTATTATTTTAAATAATCTTTATACTAAAATTTAAATTATAAAATCTGTAACTCGCACATCAATCTAATCTAGTTTAATAACAAGAAAAAAACATTTACTAAAAGAAAGATTATTAAATTTATTATAAGACTTTTAATAAAACATTCTAGACTCTAGAGTACTATATTCTACTAAAATGATATACAAATTTATTTTATTACATTTTATAATTTAATAAAAAAAAAGAATTGGTTATAAAATTATTGATTTTTCTGAAGTACTTTCAATCTATATTGTGCTTTTTGATATCCTTGATTTGCAGATTTTTCATACCAATAAACTGCTTTATCTATATCTTTTGTAATTCTTCTTCCATATTCATACATAATACCAAGATTATATGACGCTACAATATTTCCTAAATTTGCTGATCGTTGAAATAATTCGAATGCTTTTTGATTATTAATGTTAGTTCCAATTCCACAAATATAACAATATCCTAACATTGTCATTCCATCTAAATCTCCTCCTTCAGCTGATTCCTTGAACAATTTGAAAGATTTATTATAATCTTTTTCGACACCTACTCCATCTTTATAACAAATACCTAAATTATATATAGCTATTATATTTTCATTATTTGCGGCTTTTTCATACCAATAAAAAGCCATTTTTAAATCTTTTTTAATACCTATTCCATCTTCATAACAACAACCAAGAAATATTTGTCCTGCAGTATAATTTTTATTTGCTACTTTTTCAAAATATTCAAAAGCTAATTTTTCATTTTTTGAAATTCCACGCCCATATAAATAACAAATACCAACATAATATTGAGCTAAAATTTGATCTTTTTCTGATGCATCAATAAATAAATAAAATGCTTTTTCATGATTTTCATTTGTTTCAATACCAAGATAGTTAAAAAATCCAAATAAAAAAATAGAATTTGAATTATTTTGATTATCATTTAACGTTAATAACCAATTATAAATTTCTTGTGAATTGATATTATGATTATTAAAAAAGCTAATAGTTTTCTGTCTTACCAATTTTGATACAATCCCTCTATTTAATAATTTAAAAATAAAATCATTAATTTCAGTAATTATTTCATTATAAACTTCTTCAAATGATGGTACTTCTATAGTATTAATTTCTTTTGAATTCATGTTGCCAAAATTTTGCATAAGTTGAGATAATTCTCCATGTGGACCTGAATTATTATTACTTATAGGAGCCTCGTTAAGTTCTTGATTGCCAAATAATTGTTGATCTTCTATTTCTTCTATTATTACATCAATGTTTGTAACGATCGCTCTCAACCAATCAACTACTTGAAATATGTTAGGACGATTATCTGGTTCACTATCCCAACATTCTAAAAAATAATTCAAGATTAACTAACTAAATAACATAATCAATTTTATAATTAAATTTCAAATTCTACTTACTAGTATAAATTTTTACATAATTTTCAGGTGTATCAGGAACAATAGTTTCTCTAAGGCCTTGACAAATTTCCAAAGCCAAGCCAACATCATATTCACCTTCAGTACAGAAAGGAGGTCGACCACTAGACATCTCCCATAATAATACGCCAATACTGTAAATATCACTTTTTTTATTTAATGAATACATTGGTATTTTTTGGTTATAACTATTTCTTCGAGTGTTAAAGCTTTTTGGGTCAACATAAGGAACCATTCCAAATAATTTAGATTGAAAATTGGATGATGCTCCAATCCTTTTTGATAGTCCGAAATCTGCTAATTTGATTATATTTTGATGGACTAATATATTATTGGAATGCTATTAGTTAGAAAAAGCAAATGAGATGAATAATGAAATAAAATATTATTAATAAATAAATAGTTATAGATGATTTATAAATTACCAAATCACGATGAACAATCCCCTCGTTATGTAAGCATGATACAGCGCTAGCTAACTGGTATGCCATATTGAATTTATCGTTCCAAGTGAGATTATCAAAGTTTTTTTCAAAATAGTTTCGGAGGCTACCACTATCAGCATACTCCATTACTAACCAATAATTTTGTAAGTGTTTATTCTCATTATCTAATAAAAAAATAATTACTTATTAGAACATATTTTTGCAATACTGAGATTTATATTCATTATTACAAGATATCTTTATAATACCTAGCTCATATTTTGTTATTCCATAGCAACGAATGATATTATCATGAAAATCAACTTTACGTTGAATTTTCAACTACATAATATTAATTTATGAAATGTAATAAGGTAAAATAAAAATCATACATGGATAAAAAAAAAAAAAAATAAAATAAATAAAATTACCTCACGAACAATTTCTTTAACAGTAACATTATTAAGACTAAAAAAAGATTTTAACGCAAAACATTTTTTTAATTTTTTCAAATTTGCACGGTACACTTCCGAAACCTCCGGTACCAATTTCTTGAAAGTCGCTAAATTGGTTGTATTCGAAATAATTTAAGAGTTCTTTATCAATAGCTTCCTCAATCCATTTAATCCATTCATTTGCATTCTCAGTATCATGCATTTTGATGTTATCAAACATAGTGAATTTAATGGATAATATTAAAGACGATGAATTGAACGTTCAAATAAAGTACTGTCGTAACTCTATTATCGACGCTGGTTTTTGAGAATAAAATAGATAAAGTCTTCGGTGAAACTAGCAAACCTACTAAATTTTCAAGTCAAAATACTAGATTAAACGCAGAAATTGTTGATCTTTTAAATAAAAGTTGCACAGAAATAGCATACAACATATATAAAAGGTATTTTGTTACCTTCGCAATTGGCTTCGTGAGGCGCAGCAAAAGAACAAAGAACACTCGTTGAGTCTTTCGAGAAAGGAAACGGAGCTTAAATAGAAAGGAACAAATCATTTTACAGAAAGATAAGAAAATAAGGAAATCGACGAAAGAAGTAGGGATTTTTACGGGATCAACCTGATAAGGCTAATATAAAATACGAAAAAAGTAATGATAATACAAAAGGAAACTCAATCAAAAAAAAAAATAGAAAGATTGTCGAATTTCCAGTACCTTCCATTGATGATTAGCGAAGCAAATCACGTGACATTTTTTAATGACGTGAATGAAAATGTTAAAAAATTGTTTCAAAATTCTAACATTAATTTTGATAGCCTATGCCAAGAACTTTTAAACTTATCAGCTTATCAGTTTAAGGATAGAGTACACACTATAATTGATTTTAATAATCACGTGATGGCATATCAATTTTAAAGTAATACAAGAGAAGATCGGTCTAATAAAAAATAGGCAACATGTGCCAAACCCTTTTCATACTTTTTGTGTAAGCTCTTTGAAACCAATAATATACGTTGTATAAAAATCAAAGTTCATTTCATTTTGTCAAAATACTTTAACGTTCGTATGAAGTTTAAGAAAACTGCCAATTTTTCAAAAAGTCTGCCAATTTTTTAGTTTGTTCTAAGTAACCATAACTAAAACTCTTATATTATATTAAAAACTATAAAAAGTAAGTCTATTTTTTATTGTTTATTTCTTTAAAATGAAAAAAAAAAGAAAAAAATATAAATATAAATTATATAATATTATATATATAAGCCATATTATAAAAATAATTTTCTAAGTTAATAATATTGTTTTTTTAAATATATTAGATTGTGAAATACTATTTTAACGTGTTAAAACTGCTGGATCAATATATATAAATTTCAATATTAGTTTTAGGTTCTTTATTTTTATTTATAATAAAACTATTGATTATAGATATTAATTTACTATAAGAAAGGTTTATCAAAGAAGTAAATTAATTTTTATGGTATTTTTTGTGAGGGAAATTTAGAGAATTAATAAATTTAGGTTAAAATTTTGTTTTTAAGTTCTTTCGTCAAATTGCCGATCACTTGCCAATGACAATAATTAGTCACGTTAACTAATAAAAAAATGATTATATGGTGTACTCTATCCTTAAGTTTAAAAAATTTGATTTTTACCAGTGTTACATAAATTTAAAGATGATATAATTTACTATAATTAAAAAATTGAGAATAAGTAAATTTTGCACATATGCTTACATAATCTTTATAATTTGAGAATTTTTTTTTATTTATAAAAAAATTTTTTTTTTTTTTACTTGGAAATTGTGCTATCAAAATATATAATTTGTTATGATTTGTATTGCACATTAGATTTTTAGGTGATAACTGAAAATTACAGGCACAAAGGGATAATTGGAGAAGATATACTCAAAAAATTGTTTTTATTTTTTTTTTATTTATTTTTTTGGTAAACGCATTTCTTTATTGTCCGGGGAATGATGACCAATCACGTGAGTTTCTCTATCTTCTCATATGACGTCATCCACGTTAGCCAAACTTACGGTGCTTTGCAAATTAAGTTTCAGTGTAACCAAAATATCAGTATATATTCTTATACTAAAGTTACAATAAAGATTACAAAGAAACTACATAATACAATCAAAAGTAATACAAAAATAAACTGCTAACCAAGTCATCATTAAAGACTAAAGACCACTTCACTCTGGTGGTAAAAAAGGAAAAATGACGGAAGGGTAACACATTATTATAAACGATATCATGAAATTATATATAATATCGGTATAATGAGGTTTTTTTAGTGGAAAAGGAAATTCATTGATATATGTCAATTATCGATATATAAACTAGAGGTTAACTTAAATAAATAAAGAAAAAAGGAGAGTCAGTTAGTAATAGTCGAAATAAAAAAAAGAAGAAATAAAAAACAATATTATCGAAACATTGTCACTTGCCTGCAGTGTTTTGTTCGTTCCGTTTAAATTAAAAAAAAATGGGCAAAAATCAATGGATAACAGAACATTGTCACCTACCCGTGGTGTTTCTTATCGACGGATCCTTCCGTTTTGAAGTAAAGGCTAAAAAAAATAAGGATAGAAAAAAGAGTCCGATGGTCATAACTGATTTTAATAAAAAAATATTGTAACGATTTTTTTTGATATAATTACAGGTATAAAAAATCTATTTTAATTCTTTTTTTTAAAAGAAAGCATAAAAATTTTTTTTTTTAGTAGGAATTTATAAATTGCGAAAATTAAAAAGGTTGAATTTACAAATTAAAGATCAAAAAAAATTTTTTAAATTTTAAGTAAATGGAACGTTAAATAGTATATGATTCGAGAGTAAAACTATGACTTGACAAGATTGATCATATTTTTATTTATTCACCGGTATTAAAATAAAAATTATTTTTAGCGGAGTAGAAATTTTGAAATCATTTTTTTTTTTTTGTCTTTTTTTTATAATAAAAACAGGAAAATGTATTAAAATGTCATGACGAGTTTTTATTTAATTTAAAATTGAAAAGCGATAGTTTTAAAAGATGCAAACATTTCATGGTCTGTAAGGAAGCATAAAATTAATTGAGACTTACCAAAAGGCAATTTTTTTTGGTATCCATAGCAACTGTGCATGTAGTTCATTATCAAAAGCGGAATAGAGAATTTCAATAAATTATAGCCGGCGAAAATCCGTTCAAATTGAGAAATAAATTTATTGAAAAACTTGCCATAAAAGTGGATGACCAACATTACCCCAAAATTTAAAAATCCACAGTAACAGAAAAATTAAAATTTGTTTTTTTGTTTTATACAGTTTTTTTTTCGCTCAAAGGTTTTTAAGGAGTAGTGTTGGAGGGTTTCAGACTCCTTTTATAAACAAATCAGCTTTTTTATGGTCACTATTTCTTAACTTTGATTCAGTAAAACCTTCGGCCTCTTTATAAAATGGCCGGACTCAATTGAAAACTAAGTGCAATGAAACAAGCGGGAAAAAACAAAGACACTGCCCTGGAAGATGCATGAGTGGGAAAAATATAAAAATGTATTAATATCATGAATTGTGTAATTATATATGAGTTTATTAGATCCAGCGAAAATCTTCTTTGGAAAGCGAGTGATCATATCACGTGATGATCTATCAGACTGGTTCAAAAAGGGAAAGAAATATACGTTAATTGTATGGATTTTTGTAAATTACTCCACCGGTATAAAAAAGTATAAAAAAGTATAAAATCAATTAGTGTATACGTCATACATAACGAGATAAACCTGTTATTCCTTAGGTATCTTTGAGGGCCTCAAGGCTAGAGTTTCGAACCGGATTTATTTTTTAAATCCGAATTAGATACGAATAAATCCGAATTCCTTCGGTTCAATTCAGATATAATAAATCCGGTTTCCTTCAGTTGATCTGGATATAATAAATCCGGTTTCCTTTGGTTAATCCGGATATAATAAATCCAGTTTCCTTCGGTTAATCCAGATATAGTAAATTCATAGTAATAAATCCGGTTTCCTTCGGTTAATCCAAATATATGAAATCCGATTTCTTTTCTGGTGCAATTGTGTACCGAATCAAATGAAATATGGAAATCATTCAGGTTCATTGATTTCACAAGGTCTAAATTTTAAATTTACGATAAAAAAAAATGTCTTGCTTTTTTTCATTTCCTTTTCCTTTGGTTTAAAGTTGCTATGTCTGAGACAGACTCAACAGTTACCCTTTCAAGCACTTTTTCTAATGATCGCAGAAAGCGTAAAAGAAATGCTACATCTCCAGAAATCGCCAAGCCAATTGATAGAACAAACAAAAGCCACACTACCTACTTTTTTCACAAAGACACTGATGATAATGAAATTGCTTACTGTATACTATGTGAATGAAAACTTGCAGCCAATAGAAAACCATATCCTTATAGCCGAAAGGGGGGATCAACATCAAACCTGGCAGTTCACTTACGGGATAAACATGGTGTAACAAAGAATAATTATTTAGGAATATTTGGACGTAAACAATGAGGTAAGACATGAAGAAGTTGTACTTAAGTATTCATAATACTAAAAATATTTTTGATTTTTTTATATTAGCCAAAAGAAAATGATGCACAAATAACAAATTATCGATGTAGTGAAACCCGGCAGCAAGAACTAATGCGCCTCCTAATAATATTTATAATTAAATTCGTTCAACCTCTCTACATCCTCCAAAATGATGCATTTCGTAATTTTGTTCATAGCTGTGAACCTGGGTTCCAAATTCCATGCGAAAAAACTGCAAAAAACTTAATACACGAAGCTTATATTTGGAGCAAAGATCAATTGTTGAACTTGCTTGGCAGTACCATCATGTCTGTTCATTTAACCACAGATCTCTGGACAGCAAGAAGCAAACATGGGTACATTGGAGTTACGGCAACCTGGCTTTCTTCAGATTTTACCTTTTATGAAGTTTTGCTCACTTGCAGTCATTTGGAGTATCCACATACAGGTGAAACCATCAGTGATGAACTATACCGAATTATTGATCAATGGCGCCTAAAAAATACAATATTTATTATTTCTACCGATAATGGTTCAAATATGTTCAAAGCTGTAAGTACTTTAGGCAAATCACTACCTGGCATTAAAAGACACCCTTGTGTGGTGCATACCTTGCAGCTGTCTGTAAAACAAGTATTGAAGCATTGTAAAGACATTCACCGGCGAATTAAAAGTCTACAAAATTTTTTTCGGTTACCAAAACAGGCGCAAAGGTTGAGAGAGTCACAATTTGAGATCAATAACTAAGATGTGTCAATTATTGAAGAATCCCAAATACAAACTAGTTCCTTGGATGTTTTAAGTGATACAAAAACTCGATGGAACTCAACGTTAATTGCATGGAAAAGGGTTCTCGAGCTGCATAATGCTATGCGCTATGTTGCAACGAAATTATTATCAGAAAGAGATCGTATATTAAATAAAGAAGGTGAAAAATTGGAAAGCTTATGCCTGACACATGATGAGAAAATGCAAGTCAAATTTAAAATTATTTTAATTTGTATTTTCTAAAAAAAGCTTACTATGATCAAATTTTAACAGTTTTTTTATTACAATTTTACAAATTTTTTTATGAATTCACATCAAATTTCCTTACAAATTTTTATGGATTTTTTTATTAATTTTTTTTACTAATTTACGTTGACATAATTTTTTATGGCAATAATTTATGCTTATGAATTTTTTTATGGATTATTTTATGGACAAATTTTTTACAAATTCACATTAAATTTCCTTACAAATTTTATGGATTTTTTTATGATTTTTTTACTAACAAATTTTAACAAATTTTTTATGAATTTTTTTTATGTATTTACGCTGATATAATTTTTTATGGCAATAATTTATACTTATGAATTTTTTATGGATTATTTTATGGATTTTTAATTAATGAATTTTAACGATTTTTTTTTATGATTTATTTTTATTTTTGCTTTTTTACAATTTATTTACAAATTATCGTTATACTAATTTTTCTTATGAATTTTTATACGAATTTTTTAACTTTTTATTACAAATTTTTTTTTGCTTTTTATAATTTATTTATGAACTTTTCTTATGGATTTTTTTACAAATTTTTTATGAATTTTTTATTACCAAATTTTAATAAATGAATTATAATGGATTAATTTTTTTTCATTGATGAATTTTAATTTTTTTTTACAAAATTTACATTGAACGAAACTTTTTTTTGGAAATTTTAATTTACATTTATTTTATGAATTTTTATGAATTTTTTTATTAATGAATTTAACAATTTTTTTTATGATTTTTATGGTTTTTTTTTCTTTTACAATTCATTTATTTATTTCCAAATTTTGACTTACAAATTTATTCTTAAAAAATAGTTTTGTTCAAGAAATGATTAAATTGTTGGAACCATTTGAAACTATTACACGACGATTATCAGGTGGCAAATTTCTGACACTTAATATGGTACATCCATACATGTGTATGCTTAAGCGGATGTTTGCTCCAAGAGCCAATGAAAATGAAACTGTAGAAAGTTATTTAGAACTTATATATGGGCCTTTAATACCTGAGAATGAAGAAGAGAATGCTGAAGATTATATAAGTGATTCAAGTTCTGTTAGTAGTGATGATGATATTCCAACTGCTGGAAATCAACATTGGCAACATACACAAAGCCAGAGTCAAGGACGAGGATGAGGACGAGAATAAGGACGAGGTCGTGGTCGTGGTCTTGGTCGTGTTCGTGGTCGTGGTTGCGGCCATAGTCATGGTGGACATGGTCATATTTTGCAAAGACCAAATAATGAAGTTGAAGACATAAATCAAGTCGAATATCTTCCTCCGGTGAATAATCTTGAAGGTATTCTCAAGAAAGTTCGTGCAGCTATTTACCTTTCTTTAGAGACACATTGGAATGTGCCAAGCGAATTATCATTGGTTGCAACAATATTAGATCCCAGAATGAAAAGCTTCCTATATGTGGAAGACTTACATCGTGAGGAACAAAAAACACAAGCTGAATCTCTTTTAAGTAACCTCTATACTCAGCTCAAGCATGATTTGGAACTTCCAGAGGAAGTTAGATCACCCATTTTGGATGATGATGATGATATATTTGAAAGGATGTGGGCCAGTAACCAACAGTTAACACAAACAGGTAATAATGATAATAATGAAATTATGTGTTACTTGCGGTGTCCTGATGAACTGAAAAGTACAGATCCTTTGGTATGGTGGAGGGATCATAGATCAAGTTATCCCATTCTATCAAAATTAGCTCTAAAATATCTCTCAATTCCCTCTACATCTGTACCAAGCGAACGGCTCTTCTCTGACGCTGGTAATCACGTTTCTGCTAAAAGAACACGATTGGCTCCCGATTTAGTTGATCGAATTTTATTTTTAAAACGTAATAGTACATATTTTCCCATATTTCCACCTTTAGAGAACAAATGATTGATTTTAGTATAATATAATTAGGAAAACTTAGTATAAATAACATATATAATATGAACAATGTATATACTATATGAATAATATAAATAAAATTTCATTGCGTTTATGGTCTAATCACAAAAGGTGCCAATTCGGGCAAATTTTTAGTTAATAAACTTCCGAACGAAACGAATGAAACCGGATATAATAAATCTGGATGAAACGAATGAAACCGGATATAATAAATCTGGATGAAACGAATGAAACCGGATATAATAAATCCGGATGAAACGAATGAAACCGGATATAATAAATCTGGATGAACGAATGAAACCGGATATAATAAATTCGGATGAAGCCGAAGCAACTGAATCTCTCCGGTGTTAAATCTGAATCGGGAGAATCTGGATTTAAATCCGAATGTCGAAGGTCGGATCCAAACCCTACTCAAGGCAGATTTATTCATTGATACTGTCAATCGAATAATCATGTGACCGACGATCATGTTACGAATGTTGCAAATGTTACGAATGTTTAATATGTTAAACATGTTTAACATATGCAACATATTTAACATATATAACATATGCAACATATAACACATATTTAACATATTACATTTGTTAAATATATAGCATTTATTTAATATGTTTAACATGATTAGCATAGTTATTTTTGTTATAAATATATGTGTTCCAAGCCAATGTAAAAGACAGATAATTCTGTTATATTTTAATAAAAGCATTTATTAAATAAATTATCTCATTTTTTTATTTTTATAGTTTGTTATATTTGTGAGTCATATTTGCGTCTGAGTGTATATGCCCGTGTGTGCAATACCGTATTCGCATTTGACTGAAATTTCATTTTATTTTATTGTGTAACCTTCGTAAATTGATCGACAGTGATATATTTACTAATATTTACATATAGCTATTTTCACTTTGCGTTCATTAATATTATTTAATATTTATTTTATTCAATTATCCTTCTGCTTACCATACACCCATACGCTTATTTTTATAAGCATACAAGAACTGGCTTAACAATACCCATGGAATAACAAGTATTTATCAATTTATCTCTAACCACTCTTCATTATTTGTAAAAAAAAGTTCCTATCTTATCCTATTTTAAAAAGGTCTAAAAAGGTTAGATTATAAGCTTTAATCATTAGCAACGCTCGTACTAAACCCAATCCAAATTTCAAAATTAACAACCTTAGGTTGTACACACAAAAGAAACTTTTTATTTAACCAAAAGAATTTTTTATTATGTTAAATAAAAAAAATTTTTTATACAAAATTTAAAATCTATGAATCTAAGTCGCCGCAGATCAATCTAATCTAGTTTAATACTGTAACACTTGTTATAAGAATGATTATTAAACTTTAATAAAGTACTATATTCCATTAAAATGATATCGACAGAAAATTTGATTGATTGCATAAGAATTAACTATGAAATTATTGAACTTTTTTGAAGTACTTTTAATCTATTTTGTGCTTTTTGATATCCTTGTTTAGCAGATTTTTTATACCAATAAACCGCTTTATCTATATCTTTTTTAATTCCTCTTCCATATTCATACATAATACCAAGATTATATGGTGCTACTTTATTACCTAAATCTGCAGATTTTTGAAATAATTCAAATGCTTTTTGATTATTAACGTTAGTACCAATACCACAAATATAACAAAACCCTAACATTGTTATTCCATCTAAATCTCCTCCTTTAGCTGATTTCTCAAATAATTTAAAAGATTTATTATAATCTTTTTCAACACCTACTCCATCTTTATAACAAATACCTAAATTATATATAGCTATTATATTTTCATTATTTGCAGCTTTTTCATACCAATAAAAAGCCATTTTTAAATCTTTTTTAATACCTATTCCATCTTCATAACAACAACCAAGAAATATTTGTCCTGCAGTATAATCTTTATTAGCAACTTTTACAAAATATTCAAAAGCTAATTTTTCATTTTTTAAAGTTCCACGTCCATATAAATAACAAATACCAACATAATATTGAGCCAAAATTTGATTTTTTTTTGATGCATTAATGAATAAATTGAATGCTTTCTCATGATTTTCATTTGTTTCAATTCCAAGATAATTAAAATATCCAAATAAAAATAAAGAATTTGAATTATTTTGATTACTGGTATTATTATTATTTGATAATAACCAATTATAAATTTCTTTTGAATTGATATTATGATTATTAAAAAAGCTAATGGTTTGTTGTTTTACTAATTTTGATACAATTCCTTTATTTAATAATTTAAAAATAAAATCATTAATTTCAGTAACTAGTCCATTATAAACTTTTTCAGATGATGATTTTATATTATTAATTTCTTTTGAATCTATATTATCAAAATTTTCCATAAGTTCAGATAATTCTCCATGTGGACCTGGATTATTATTACTGCTTAAAGGAACCTCATTAAGTTCTTGTTTGCCTGATGATTGTTGATCTTCTATTATTGCATCAATTTTTGTAACGATCGCTTTCAACCAATCAACAACTTGAAATATGGTAGGACGATTATCTGGCTCACCATCCCAACATTCTGAAAAAATAATTTAAGATTAACTTTTACTAAATATAAATAATTAAATTTCAAAATTTTTACTTACTAGTATAAATATTTATATAATTTTCAGATGTTTCAGGAACAATAGATTCTCTAAGACCTTGACTAATTTCTAAAGCCAAACCAACATCATATTGTTCACCTTCATTATAGAAAGGAGGTTGACCACTAGACAATTCCCATAATAATACGCCAATACTATAAATATCACTTTTTTCATTTAATGAATACATTGGCATTTTTTGATTATTATGACTATTTCTTCGAGTGTTAAAACATTTTGGGTCAACATAAGGAACCATTCCAAATAATTTAGATTGAAAATTGGATGATGCTCCAATTCTTTTTGATAATCCAAAATCTGCTAATTTGATTGTTTTTTGATGAACTAATATATTATTGGAATGCTATTTAATTAAAAAAAAAATTAAATGAGATGAATAAATGAAAAATAATATAGTTAATAACTAAATAATCATTATAAATGATTTTATAAATTACTGTACCAAATCACGATGAACAATCCCCTCATTATGTAAGCATGATACGGCGCAAGCTAATTGGTACGCCATATTATATCTGTCATCCCAAGTAAGGTTATTATAATTATTTTTTAAATAGCTTCGAAGATTACCACTATCTGCATACTCCATTACTAACCAATAATTTTGTAGGTGCTTATTTTGATTTTCTAATAAAAGAATTACATAATTTTGTAAATAGAGATTTTTAATAATTTAACGTTAATTATTACAAGATATCTTTATAATACCTAGCTCATATTTTGTTATTCCATAGCAACGAATGATATTATCATGAAAATCGACTTTACGTTGAATTTTTAACTAAATAAATATAAATTTTTATGAATAAAATGAAAAGTCATAAAATGGATTAAAAAATTTAATTACCTCACGAACAATTTCTTTAACAGTGACATTATTAAGATTAAAAAAAGATTTTAATGCAAAACATTTTTCTAGGTTTTTCAAATTTGCACGATACACTTTTCCGAAACCTCCAGTACCAATTTCTTGAAAGTTTCTAAAATCGTTATATTCGTAATAATTTAAGAGTTCTTTATCAATAGCTTCTTCAATCCATTTAATCCATTCATTTGTATTCTCAGTATTATGCATTTTAATGTTATCAAACATAGTGAATTTAACAGATAATATTAATGATAATGAATTGAAAGGTCAAAGTTTTATAAAATTTTTAATTAACTGAAATTATTCTATTTTAAGTATGTTATGCAAGATCTTCTTTGGATTATAGTCACACTGTGTCACCAGTATCACCAACAGAAACAGTTGTCAGTCGGGACGATATATCAGCCGGTAAATTTTTTCTCAGAAAAAAATTATCACGTGATTATCATCTGCATGTGTAGCCATGAACCCCTTCACTGGTTGAAAAGACGAAGATTTAACTAGCCGGTTAAAGAGTTGAAATGCATTAAAAAAGGAAAAGTCAAATTCTGAGACAATGGGAAAATAGATTATGTAAGCATGACAAAGCAATGATCTGCATCCAAAAAAAGGAAACCCGATGAGAACAAAATTTTATCGTTTAACGTATTTGTTTCGTACGCTTCGTAGTGCTAAATATAGTTCCGAGACCAAACATATTAAAGGACATTTTATAATTTTTTTCATTTTTTTCATTTTTTTTAAAAAAAAATAGAATCTTAAAAAAAATTAGATTTTGAATTGCCATAGAATTACGACACATAACAATTTGATTAGTAAATTCATATTGCTAAATAAATTATTTAAAAATGGTATATTTTTTGTAATATGTAAAGTATAATTATAAGATAAAAAAATTGGTCATTCTATTATAATTATCATAATAAAAAATTGATTTAAATAAATATGTTAATCATTATATATTGAAATGTTTGGAGGATACATACTGTAATTGAACGAGAAAGTTTAATACCTTTCATTACAGGTTTTATAAAATAACAATTTTGTTTCTACATTGTTAACGAGATATTTAATATTTTCAATTGCAGAAATTTTGCTTACAATGATAATTTTATTATTCCTGAAAATATAAATAATTATAAATTTACATAAATTAAATAAATGGTTATCGTTATTGTAGCAAAATAATCAGAAGGTGATGATAGGCCAAATATGGGAACGATAAAAGTTTAAATAAATATAATAAACCACTCAACCAATTAGGTTCCCTACCTTTTTTGCCAAACCTAGGGATTGAAAAGGAAAAATAATGATTATCGCCAGCAGGTTATTTCCTCATAGCTAAGAACGATTTTGAAATATTTTTTTTTCAGTCTTATCACTTGTAAAACATGTAAAGCGTTATTTTCTATTTCTTTGTCAACCGGCTCGTTCACCAAGTATTTCTTGGTTTTACAAAATTCCTTTCCACCAAGAAATACTGTATATAATATTTTATTGCGGGGACAAATAGCTTATTTTAACTATGTCACGTTCTCGTTCTTAAATTTCTCGTTATGAGTTTATCCGTTGAACGCAGTAATCCTTATGAATGACACTCTTATCACATGATTTAAGGTGATAATGGTTATTACGTATATTGTTATTCGTCCATTTTTACTACATTTAAGCTTAAGGATCGCTTCACACACGCAGTCATTTCGATTTAAGTATTTTAGCTGGTAAAGTAATATCCATAAAAAAATATCTGATGAGAAATAGAGTAGCAAGAGCAAGGGTAAAATTATTTACTTTTATTACATTCACATATGCGTACCGTATAGTAGTTATCGTTATGGCTTGACGTTAATATATAATCCCGATTTACTGAATTCTACTATAAAAATCCTTTGGAATATTATTAATTTTTTTTCATACATTGAAACAATGACTTAATTAATAGCAAGGACAGGGATAAATATTAAAACATTTAGTCGTCATTTATTTTATTTTACCTTATTTTTTTTTGTATTAGTTATGTGAAAACCTTAATCTTGGCAAAAACAACAGGTGATTTCATCGAAAAAAAAAATAATTCATTACTAAAAAAAAAAATTAAAAAATTTAATACATATTAAACCAAAATATTCATGTTAAAAGTTTAAAAGTTTCAATAATAAAAGCTGCCATAGAATCTAATGATTTAGAAGAATATAGAAAGATTACTGAAGAATATGGTCAATTTACATACCTAAAAGAAGATGTAAAAAAAGGAACTGAAGAGAAGACCTAAAGAAATATCGGGTGAAGATATAACGGTGATCTGCTCATTATGTTGGCAAAAATCATATTATACTCAACGTAAAAATACAATATAAACATGAGCTCCATGTAAAATTTATGCCGTATAACCTACCAATGATACAAGTAACTCTTTGAACAATATTAACTCCAGACTTAATAACGGTTTCACGTTCTCTAGCCTAATTAATTTCATTTGCAAATTTATTATTTTTTTTTTAAAATGATTTTTTTGGTAATTATTATTTTTTTTTCTTTTTTTGTAATATTACATACAATATACCTAAAATATACTTGAAGGCGATATTTTAATTTCCTCGTGCAAATAAATGATCGACAGAGTCCAGCTTATACAAAACTGCCTTATATATTGTACTATACCTACAAGATCTGGTTGATCAATATAATAATTGGTCAATATAAATAATCGGATTTTTTTATTGTGATAAACTTTTGGCACAGCGTACAGTATTGCGGCTAACTCCGAGCAATAAACAATAATCCGAGTTTGTATACCCTTCCTTTTTTGGATAATGCATTATGTTAATTATGATTCTGGAGAGATGCGTAGAAACGATCTCTTGTTACCTATTTATATATTACGCAGATATTAGTGGCGTTGTACAACTATTATTATAGAACAGAATTGCATAAATAGGCTTTTTTTTTCGTTATCGTACAAAATATAACTTTTACAATTTAATCCTATCGTTTATAAAATTTTTCTTATTATTATTCATTATGTCTAATAATACAACAATACAAGATACCGAAAATACAAATGAATCGAACGCTTGGATTGAAGAAGTTATTGATAAAGATCACTTAAATTATTACGATTACAACCAATTTAGTAACATTCAAGAAATTGGTTCCGGAGATTTTGGAAAAGTGTACCGTGCAAATTTGAAAAATTTAGAAAAATTTTTTACGTTAAAATCTTTTTTTAATCTTGACAATATCACTATGAAAGAGATTGTTCGTGAGGTAATTAATATTAAATATATATATTTTTTTTACAATCCATGATTTTTATTGTTTTTTAAAAATTTAAAATTTAAAATTTATTTAGTTAAAAATTCAGCATGAAGTTGGTTTTCATGATAATATCATTCGTTACCATGGAATATCAAAATTTGAATCAGGTATTATAAATTACTTTAAAAAGTGTAATATTCTAAGTTTTATTTATAAAATCTCATTTCAATAACTGTTTTTTTTCTTAGAAGATAATGAACATCATATTAATTATATCCTGGTAATGGAATACGCAGACAGTGGTAGCCTTCGAAACTATTTGAAGAATAATTTCGGTAAGCTTACTTGGAATGATAAGCATCATATGGCTTATCAGTTAGCTTGCGCTGTATCATGCCTACATAATAAGGGAATTTCCCATTGTGACTTGGTAAACATATTTATTATAATGATAACGTTTATATTTTTATTTATTTATTAAAATATTTGTTTTTTTTAATAGCATTCTGGCAACATATTAGTTCATCAAAATATGATCAAATTGGATTTTGGGTTATCGAAAAGAATTGGAGCATCAATTAATTTTCAATCCAAAGAGATGATTCCTTATGTTGATCCAAAAATCTATAATAATAACAATAACCAAATAACACAAATGTTAACATTAAATGAAAAGAGTGATATTTACAGTATTGGTGTGTTACTATGGGAAATTTCTAGTGGGTTACCTCCTTTTTATGCTAAAGATAATCAATATGATGTTAATTTAACTTTGGAGATTGCACAAGGTCTTAGAGAAGAAGTTGCTTTTGACACACCTGAAGATTACATAAAAATTTATACTAGTAAGTTTTAATTAATTTAATTATAATTTAATTATTACTTAACTAATTTTGAATTATTTTTTCTTTTTAGAATGTTGGGGTGAACCAGATAATCGTCCTACTATATATCAAGTAGTTGATTGGTTAAAAGCAATTATTACAAAATCAAAATTAAAAGATTCTCAATTCTCAAACAATCAAAAATTTAATTCAAAATCAAAAGAAGAATTATTTCAATTTATCAAAAATTTTGATAAAATAAATATAAAAGAAATTGATCCTATAACAATAACAAATAAAAGAGAGAAACTTTTATTTGAAAAAGGTTATGATATAATAGTTGATGAAATAAATGATTATTTAATTAAATTAGCAAATAAAGGAATTGAATGGATATTATTAAGACAAGAAGTTATTAAATATTTTAATAATCATAATATAAATTTAAAAGAAATTTATAATTGGTTATTAAATAATCAAGATGATAATAATAATAATAATAATAATAATAATAATTCAAATATAATTTTTTTATTTGGATATTTTATATTTTTTGAAATTGAAACAAAACTTAATATTGAAAAAGCATTTAATTTATTTTTAATTGCATCAAAAAAGAATCATATATTTTCACAATATTTAGTTGGAAGTTGTTATAAATATGGTAATGGTACTATAAAAAATGAAAAATTAGCTTTTGAATATTTTGAAAAATTGGCTAATAAAAATTTTACTTATGGTCAAGTTGAAATTGGTTTTATTTATAAAAATGGTATAGGTGTTAAAAAAAATTCAAAAAAAGCTTTTTATTGGTATGAAAAAGCTGCAAATAATGGTAATTTAACAGCTTTAAATACTCTTGGTCTTTATTATAAAAATGGTATTGAAGTTGAAAAAAATTATATTAAAGCTTTTGAATTATTTAAAAAATCTGCTAAAGATGTTTATCCAAATGGTTTAAATTCTTTAGGTTGTTGTTATGAATTAGGTATTGGAACTAATATTAATATGAAAAAAGCATTTGAATTATATCAAAAATCTGCAAATTTGGGTGATAAGGGTGCTCAATATAATCTTGCTATGATGTATGAAAATGGAAAAGGTATTTTAAAAGATATAGATAAAGCTATTTATTGGTATGAAAAATCTGCTAAACAAGGTGATCAAGATGCACAATATGAATTGGATAAACTTAAAAATCAATAATTTATAAAAAAATTCAATATTGTAAAATTGTAATAATGTAATCAAACTAAATGTAATTCTACTACAAATAGAATATAATGTTTTAAGATAAAATGAATAAATTAAATATCATAGATATGAAAATGTTTGAATCAATTTAGAATTTTTTTTTTCCTAAAAAAGTTTAAACTCAAAATATGATACAAAATTTCAGGAAATCTATATTTTCATCGCTTTCCATTTGGATTGTTTTATTATCTTTTTTTTTACTTTTATAAACCTATAACTTGGTCTTATTTTTTTTTGACTTCATTTCAACTTTTTTATCTTTTGCTGTTCCTAGTGCATTTAAAATAGTATATTACTTAAATTACATACCCTATAAGAAAAAAATGTCCATAAGATGTACATAAAACAACTGATAAATAAGAGTCATTAATTAAACATAATTTAACCACCTTATGTATATAATTCAAACATCAAATACCTATATTTTAAACATAAAACATACATAAAAATGAGCCCATTTTGAACGAAATATGGTCATAATTTTGTCCATTTTATATCCGTTTTATATGCATATTCTGTCCACTTTATGTACTAACTTTGTCATAATTTATCAATTTTATATTTATTATATGATCATATTTTATAAATTATTTATTCATTAAACATAATTAAATGTTCAATTATTTATTTATCAAATGTATAATAAAATGTTGCTACTTACAAATATATTAAATTACAAACTATTCCACTATTTCTTTTGCTTGTTTACTTCAGTTGATCTTGGCGGATTTAACATTTTTTTTTGGTGTTTGTTCTATTTTAACCAATTTAGTATTATTCCTCTTACATCACATCACAACTGGAACCTACAAAAGAGAACAAATGAAACGTTAGAGAATGTTCATTAAAGGAGATGAATTCAAATAAAATAGTTCTTAATTCTCTCATCAAGATCTGAAATCTGAAATCTACACGTCTAAAAAAAAGAGAAAATAAAAGTTAGAAAAGTTTCTAATTAATTAAATAAAAATGAAATTATGCATTGGAATATACGAAACTTATATTTTAAACATCTCATGTGTTCCAGACTTGAAACCTACAAAAGAGAATAAATGTTAGAAAACACTTCTGATTAAACACAAAAAAATAAAGTTTTGCAATGAGTATTGCGAAACTTACCATTTCCATTCTCCTATTAATCAAAAAGTCCAAAGCTTACAAAAAGATAATAGTTTCTTTAAAAAAAGAATATGTTTTAAAGTCTGAATTAAAACTTTGAATCTAAACACCCAAATTGAAGGCGAAACCTACAGCAAAAGAAAATAAAATGAAATGTTAACAAAGAAGAAAGAAAAAATGGAATATTAATAATGCTTACTCACGTCCCAAGTAAATAAAATCTTTTCATTTTCATATACCTTCCAAATGTCCAGTTCCTATAAAAGAAAATAAATTGAACATTAGTAATATTTACTAATGTTCTTAATTAAAAAAACTCCTCCTCTCACTTACTTTTTTAAATACTTTCTAAAGTATTTGTTGGTTGAATCCCTACAATAAAAAAAAAAGGAAATAAAATGTTAATACTTCCAAGGGTCAATCAATCTCAAAGTGTTGGAGAGTAACTACGAAAATAAAAAAAATATTTTTTATGTAAAAAAAAGATCGGATATCTGATGATCTAATGATATTACATCAAATATCTGGATTAATTAGATTCAGATCACACTTCTAGTCCGAAGAGAGACTTAAAAAATTTTTTATTGCTAGTATTTCACATGAATCGTTCAGAAAGACAAAAAAATTCACCTAAAAAATATAAGAAAAACAAACAGTTAGTGATATTTATTAACTCACGTCCAGAAAACTGAAAAACTGCCTAAAAGGGAAAAAAATCGAAAACTTACGAAAATGTTGCACTATGAAACTACAAAAGAATCACCTAGAAAAAAAAATAGAAATGTTAAAAATGTTTGTCTAAAAAAAGGTAAAAGCACCCATAAGAAGAAGTTTCTTTAATAAAAGTATAAAGGGGAAAAGAAAGAAGGGAGAGAGAAAGAAATAAGAAAAGAGAAGGAAGGAAGAACAAAGGGAAAAAGAAAGGAAAACGTGTCTGTAGTCTATTCTAAATTATGTATCAGTACATGTGATATCTAACTTTTTTTAGTTGTACACAGTAGCTTGTGTAATGGAAAAGTTAGAAATAATATATGTAATTATATATACTGTATATAAAAAAAAAAATCACGTGGCATAGTGATTGATTAAACTTTTTAGATTTCAAGTTAAAACTCTTTTAAAAGTTTGATCGAACTGTTGAAACTTTCTTTTAATCATTTTTAATTTTCTTTTAAAGGTTTTGATCAAACTATCGAAACTTCTTTTTTTTGAAAAGTTTTGAGCTTTCAAATTTTTTTTAATTTTTTCTTTTTAATTAATTAATTATTTTTTTGATCAAACTGTTCTTTTTTAAAAATTTATTCAAAATTTCAAAAATTTTTATTCTTCTTTAAATATTATTAACATTTTACATTCTTTTAAGTGGTTCTTTATTCCATCTTTTAATAAACATTACTGACTTTTTTTTTTCTTTTAAGACAGTTGGATAATTATATATATATATTCTTTATTTCTTTGAATTTCAGTGAGTTCTTCTTTATTTTTCTTTAAATACTTTTAACAAAATGGTATTAATATTTTATCTTTTTTTTCCTTTTTTTAGATGGATTTATTATATCGAATGTCAATGAGATACCTGCTGGTAAGCGAAATTAATAGTAGGACTACTACTAGAAAGTAAGAGCCAGAGGAATGGCTGGAAGGAAGTAAGAGAGAGAAAGTAGGTGATATAATGTTACAGGGGAGCAAGTCCATTTACTATTCTTTATCTGCGAACGAATTTAACAGAACAATCAGGTGATATTGTTGTCTAAATCAGGTTCCCACCTTGTTATAGTTGTGTCACCAGGGGCGCTATGTCAACGGAAATTTAGTACGTTGATCGCTTAAAAATCCGCGGCTATCCAATTATAACAAGAGGATTAATAGTTTTTAGATAATTTTATTTCAATATAAATTTAAAATTAAATTCTACAACACATTTTATTTTAAAATACTTCTAGAATGAGCAAATTTTTCTTTTCTATAATTAATATGAATAATAACATAATTTGTCCATTAAGTTATATTTACGAATGTTGGTAAATGTACAAATAACGTATATAAGATATATAATATAATTTATGTATATTTTTAATGTACAAGTAATGTATACAAAATGGCAAATCTATTTTTTTATGCATTAACATACATAATTTGTAAATTATTTGTGCTATTTAATGTACATTTTATGAACTCCAAAAAGATACAATCTTAAAATATGAGCAAATAATAGACAAATAATGGACATATATGACGTTATATGGTCAAATTATGTATAACTTATGAACAATTCATTTTTACATGCGCATGTAATTCTACTAAAGTACCAAATTTATGTCAATATAATTTTTAAAAAAGCAAACATTATTATCTTTTTTTTCAACATTTAAGGTAAATAAGCAAGCAAAGTACTTAAGCAGATTATATCAACATAGATAAACCCCATAAAGTTAGGTTTAGAAATTTTGAACATTGTTTAAATTAAACTTAAGTATATCTAACGTACCTACTTATTCGAAACACAGCAGCCGCACATCCCTATAAAAAATGTTTGTTCGATAAATATTCGGAATGGGGTCAATTTTCTGGACACTCGCTCGCTATTATACCATATTTGTTACAATTTAATACAAGATGTAGGGGATTGAGAATTTTTAACCTCATAAAAAACGTACAATATCATGATGAATGTCCAATAAATGTCAAGTAAATGTTCGGAACGGGGTCGATTTCCGAACAAAAAACTGAACAATGTTTGGAAAACATTTTTTATAGGGCGTACAATGTAAAATCTATCCACTGAAATAAACGTAATCTTATGTGTTCTTACATCATTGAAGCTAGTATTGTTTCTAGCGCAATTTTATTACTAAATCTGAAAAAGCAAAATGAAATTATTTTCAATATTTATTTGAATACTAAGTTTAGTTACACGTAATTTTAATGATTTTTTTTTTTTTTAAAAAAAAAGTGATAATTTACATAATAATCTTTCTATTTTCTACGCGTTAATATTTTACATTAATTTCATCTTGGTATAAACGATTCTTTGATTAAAAATCTGCTAAACAATACTTTTCACAGATGAGTTGCTAAATATTAAAAATTTAAATTACCTCGTTGATAACTTTTGATGATGTCATTATTACGGTCCTGCGGTTGATGGACAAATTGTTTGTTTGGTGGTACGCGGCAATAATCGGAGAATAATTTGCACAAAAGGAAAAAAAAAAAAACAACTCTTTCCCGTGGGAACCAAAATTCTTAGAATTCCGCAGTAAGACTAGTAAAATATTAATAAAAATTTAAATTTTTTGCTTTTTCTTACAAAAAATTATAATAAAATGGAGTCATACCGGGGACAAGAGGAGTTCGAAGAACAGCTCTTAAGAGATGTCAAGACTTTTGTAACAAAAAACTTCAAAGAAGCTCAGTTATGACAAAAAGAGGAGCTGGACGATACCTTCGATAAAATTTTTTTCAGGACGCTTAAAACCCACAGGCTACTAGTCAAAATTAGTGAGATAACAGGTATAAAGGGTGAAAATGTTGAAATAATAGCAAGAAGTATAATGAGGTTTGCATATAGAATACAAAATAACGACGTTCAAAATATTGGAAAACAAAATTCTCGCCTTCGTTCATGGCTGCGCCAAGCGCAGCAAAAAAAAAATCTGACACATGATACAATGCTAAATGCAGAAATTGATAGCGAGTTAAAACACCAATCAAACACGTCCAAGAACAAGGAAAAAAGCAAAAAAAAGAAAAACGTAAAAAAAATTAAAAATAGAATAGTTCAGGAGATTGTACTTCCAACAAAAGCCGATCAGGTCCCAGGTTAGGAGGCGCAAGGAACTCGGTCACGTGACATGCTTTTTTATGATATTCCAGTACGCTATAGCGAGACAGAAGTATGCAACGCAATTAAACAATTAGGAACGGTGCATAGAATTACAATAAAAAAACATTATAAATATCAATCGATGAAAGCCGAGATTTCATTATTAGAAGAATACGAAGATTCGTTCGTGAAAGGAGCGTGGAAAGAAAAGATACTGATTGGAAGCAACGAAAAAAATAAAAAAGTCATTGATGTCCGTTGGTTCCATGGAGACAAGACAGTAAAAGACATAAAGGAAAAATGCAAGTGGAAAGCCTACAAAGTGATTCAAACGAATTACTACCAAGACATAGCGAGAAATAACTTCACCTTCGAATTTGGAAAAACAGCGTGTTTTGGAAATAAGACGGTTTTCTTAGCATATTTCAAAAATAAAGAACAACTCGAGGCAGCGATCGCCATGGATAAAAGTATGGATAACAAATGGGTAATACATGGAAGACGCAATGAGAGTATGGTGAAAATAGCCTCAAAAGAGGTGACAGTCAGATCTCTCATAAGCACATCCCCGGGAAAAACTAACAAAGTAATATCTATTAACAACCATGGATCAACATCAGCTACGCCTAATACTGTCATCCATACAACCACAGAAGAAGTAGTAGATACTGTTAACAAATACAGGAAGAATTTGCTGGATGAAACCGAAACACCTATTCATCCATCAGTAACGCCTACGATAAAAGGTTACACTTCACCGGAGAATGTGGTTAAGATTATTAAAGAATATAGAGGAGAAGTATTTACAGAACATGAAAAAGCACTGATTCAAGAAGAAATTCTTAAAGACTTATCGGAGAAAGAGGAGAAAGAGGCAATGATTGAAAGAAGAAGAGAAGAGCTTACATTAGAGTTTAAAGCGTACGCTCAAAGAATGGAAGAAAGAAGGGAAAAAAAAGAGGAAGAAAAAGGAAAACCGATAAGTAAAATCGTTACGCCTGTGGAATTACATGAATTTGCCAAAGTCAACGCTGATTGTACAGAAAGACTACAAAAGGAGAGTGATCGTCCATATACGCTCTCAAACAATAATCCCTTTTTAAAGGAAGAAGAAGACAAGTCACCTTTATCAGAGTCTTCGGACGATGATGAATGTTTAAAAGATGTCAAAAAGCGTATAAAGAAGAAACAAGGCGCAAGAAGTAGTGATTCGGAAGAAGATTCAACCATAGATAGCTCGAGCGAAGTTGAAAAGAAAATGGAACTCCAACCTGAAAATACACCCGATACTGACAAAATAAATAAAACACCCTTGGAAGGTCTTAGTAGAGTGGTAAAAAAGGGTAGGAGTAGTAGAATTAAAAAATAGTTTTTTTTTTTTTGTTGAATAGCTTTCACCCAGATGTAATATTTTATATTAGTTCTATCTTTGGTTATGTTTATTCGCGCCTTGGTTAGATAACCCATGGCTTTGGTATGGAGGGGTTCAGGATTGTTTGATCCTGAATTTCAAGTATATTGTTATAATTATTTTGTATTGTGATGCGTTACATTTACTAATANAAAAAAAAAAAAAAAAAAAAAAAATAATTTGCACAAAATACTTAATTGGGGTTATTTTCGTTTCTGTGCGCAATACAACCTTGACCATTCAATTTTATCATTTTTTACCCTTTTTCTGTTAATATTATTATTAAATATGTCTGATAATAAACAAATGAAAAATACAGAAAATACAAATGAATGGATTAACTGGATTGAAGAAGCTGTTGATAAAGAACATTTAAATTATTATCAATACAACCAATTTACTAACATTCAAGAAATTGGTACCGGAGGTTTCGGAAAAGTGTACCGTGCAAATTGGAAAAATACAAAAAAACAATTAGCGTTAAAATCTTTTTTTAATCTTAATCACGTCACCATGAAAGAAATCGTTAGTGAGGTAATTTTATATAATACATTTTTTTTTTTTTACAATATTTTATTTTATCTAGCCTATATTATATTTATTTTTAATATTTGAATTTATTTAGTTAAAAATTCAACGTAAAGTTGATTTTCATAATAATATAATTCGCTGCTGTGGGATAACAAAATTTGAATCAGGTATTAATGAGATACTTTAATAAATAAAATATTCCAAATTTTATTCATAGAATTACATCTCATTAATTATTTCTTTTTTTTTAGAAAATCAAATTAGCAATAATTATATGTTGGTAATGGAATACGCCGACGGTGGTAGTCTTTGAAACTATTTGGAAAAAAACTTTAGTAAGCTCACATGGGACGATAAATTAAATATGGCGTACCAATTAGCTTACGCTGTATCATGCTTGCATAATGAAGGAATCATCCATCGTGACTTGGTAATTTACAAATCATTTATAATAATTTAGTTATAATAATATTATATTTCATTATTTATCTCATTTGCTTTTTCTAATTAATAGCATTCTGGCAATATATTAGTTCATCAAAACACGATCAAATTGGCAGATTTTGGGTTATCAAAAAGAATTGGAGAATCATCCAATTTCCAATCCAAATTATTTGGGATGGTTCCATATGTTGATCCGAAAAGCTTTAACAAACGAAGAAATAATAATAATCAAATGTTTTCATTAAACGAAAAAAGTGATGTTTACAGTCTTGGCGTATTATTATGGGAAATATCTAGTGGGAAACCTCCTTTTTATACTGAAGGTGAACAATATGATGTCAGTTTAATTTTGGATATTTCACAAGGTCATAGAGAAACGGTTATTCCTGATACGCCCGATGATTATGTAGAAATTTATACTAGTAAGTAAAATTAATTTAAGTTTAACTAGAGTATTATTTTAATTAATCTGAAAATTATATTTTTATTTGTTTTAGAATGTTGGGATGGTGAGCCTGATAATCGTCCTATCATATATCAAGTAGTTGATTTGTTAAAAGCAATGATTACAAAAACAGATATAATAACGGAAAATCCTCAATTATCAAATGAACAAGAATTTAATGAGGTCTCCATAAGTACCAATAAATCGGAATCACAAGGAGATTTATCTTAATTTATTCATTATTTTAATAAAATGAATACAAAAGAAATTGAAGATATCATGGCTGTACCAAATGAGCAAGAGAAACTTTCAGCTAAAAAAGTTTTTAACAGAGTAGTTGATGAAACAAATGATCTAATTTTTAAATTAGCAAATAAAGGAATTGAATGGAAATTAATAAAAAAGGAAGTTATTGAATATTTTAATAATTATAATACAAATTCACAAGAAATTTATAATTGGTTATCAAATAATCAAAATAATTCAAATTCAATTTTTTTACTTGGATATTTTAATTATTTTGAAATTGAGACAAGTGAAAATAATGAGAAAGCATTTAAATTATTTATTAATGCATCAGAAAAAAATCATATATTAGCACAATTTTTTGTTGGTGAATGTTATAAAAATGGAAATGGAACTATAAAAAATGAAAAATTAACTTTGGAATATTTTGAAAAAGTGGCTGATAGAAATTATGCAATTGGACAATTAGAAGCTGGTTATTTTTATAAAAATGGAATAGGTATTAAAAAAGATTTAAAAAAGGCTTTTTATTGGTATAAAAAAGCTGCAAATAATGGAAATATAATAGCCATGCATAATTTAGGTAATTGTTATTTACATGGAGAGGGTGCTGAAAAAGATTATAATAAAGCTTTTGAATTGTTCAAGAAATCAGCTGAAGAAAATTATTTTCGTGGAATAACAATGTTAGGATATTGTTATGAAAGAGGTATTGGAACTAAAATTGATAAGCAAAAAGCATTTGAATCATATCAAAAATCGGCAAATTTAGGAAGTTTAGTAGCACAATATAATGTTGGTATTATGTATGAAAGTGGAAAAGGAATTACAAAAGATATAAATAAAGCGATTTATTGGTATGAACAATCTGCCAAACAAGGATATCAAGATGCACAAAATAAATTAGAAATACTTCAAAAAAAAATCAATAATTTATAATAAATTTTCTCTAAATATGATACTTTTTATCATTAAATAGTAAATCGTAAATCATTACATTATTTTTCTTTTATTTATTCAAATAGCGTAAGATATAATAAAAAAAAGAGTCATTATTATAATTTAATAATTATTCCTATTGACAGTATATTTTTTTTTATCATCAAGTTAGCTTGAATACTATATTTACTTGTATGGGATGTATTTAGATCCGATTTTCTGCAAAAAATAATTTTATTATTAGTGTAAGTTTCAATAATAAATTTTTAAACTTTACAAACTTCACAGAAGATACTACTTAATATTTTTCACTATCAGATGTTTTACAAATATTTTTTTGTTTTATTATTCACAGTTTTCAAATTGTTTCTCATTTCTTCGCTTACGGGAAACAAGTTCATTTGAATGTTTTATACAAAGTTGATCATCCACTTGCGATTAAACTGTCAATAAAGAGACTTTAGGACTCTGTCTTGTACTTTTTAAGTGCTAACTTTCAAAACTTTTTCGTTGGAATTTTATAAAAGACACAAGACCCATTATTTCGCTTGCAAAAATCTCTTGCCATTGCAATTGAGAAGTTAAACCTAAAGTCAGATCTGTTAAACTTAGTTGAGAAAGAGTTATTAAGCCAGGACCCAGAAATATATATATATAGGGGTCAGGTGAAAAAAATTTTTTACTATGAGCTGTACGCATTTTTTCAGGGCCGGAATTATGATAATGTCAGTCGGTTACTATAATAGGAAATAAAATTCTGACTGGAATTATCAAAAACTATCATTTTTTTAGTTCAAAATACGTAAACTGAATGTAACATCGGTATCTATTTGTCGATCACATAAAATTAAATCACATGACAAATCAATTTGCCAATCTATGTTTCCGTTTATTATGTCTAGATAGACGTGATTGCATCACATATCAAAAAGAACTTTTTACTTTTTAGACATATGCAACCTCATACAGCCTTTAGAAAAAGACTACACCATTCAAGGCCATCCATGCTAACAATTTATTCAACGAATGGAGAGCCAAACCATATTTTCTACTCATAAATATTTACATCTTGATAAACGATTCTTTGATTAAAAATTTGCTAAACAATATTTTTCACAGATGAGTTACTAAAAATTAAAAAATTAATTTACCTCGTTGTTGTTATAAATATAAAAATTATATTTATTTTAATAGGTATTCTCATGTCATTACTACTATTAAACTACCCCCTAAAAAATTCCAAAATAATCATGGCTAAAAAATTAAAAGAATTTCGTGCGACAATATGACTAGTTTGCACGAACATGTGAAAGTAAACAGTGACGAATAAGGAGGTGATAAAGTGAATAAGATCTTGCCTACTAAAAAAACTAACAACTAAGTCCCTCAGATAAATAGGGGTGTCGGGGTGGGTGTGACAATGTGATGAATTAAAAGTATGTCACGTGATTGCGGAATTTTTCGGGCTAATCGTCATTACTGTGGTACTGCGGTGATGTACAAATGGTGGTACACTAGTACCTGGTGACACTGTTCGGAGAATAAAGTCCATAAAATGCTTAAAATGGAGAGTTATTTTCGTTGCAGTGCGCAATAAAATTTTACAACCTTGACAACCTTGACCGTTCAATTTATATTTTTTAAACTTTTTCCGTCAATATTATTATAAATATGTCCGATAATAAGCAAATGAAAAATACCGAAAATACAAATGAATGGATTAATTGGATCGAAGAAGCTATTGATAAAGAACATTTGAATCATTATGAATATAACCAATTTACTAACATTCAAGAAATTGGTGCCGGAGGTTTCGGGAAAGTGTACCGCGCAAATTGGAAAAATACAAAAAAACAATTAGCGTTAAAAACTTTTTTTAATCTTAATTATGTCACCATGAAAGAAATTGTTCGTGAGGTAATTTACTGTATATATAATATAAGATGTTTTTTAGCCTATATTATTATATTTTAATATTTGAATTTATGTTAGTTAAAAATTCAACGTAAAGTTGATTTCCACGATAATATTATTCGTAGCCATGGAATAACAAAATTTGAATCAGGTATCATAAAGAGATTTTAATAAGTATTATATCTAAATTTTATTCACAAAATTTCATTCCAATTTTTTTTTTCAGACAACAAAATTGGTAATAATAATTATATAATGGTAATTGAATACGCTAACGGTGGTAGTCTTCGAAATTATTTGGAAAAAAACTTTAGTAGGCTTACATGGGACGATAAATTAAATATGGCGTACCAATTAGCTTATGCTGTATCATGCTTGCATAATGAAGGAATCATCCATCGTGACTTGGTAATTTATTTATTATTAATTAACCATTGTTCGTAATACTGTATTTGTATTTATTTATTTAATGTATTGTTTTAATAGCATTCCGGCAATATATTAGTTCATCAAAACATGATCAAATTGGCGGATTTTGGGTTATCGAAAAGAATTGGAGAATCATCCAATTTCCAATCTAAATTATTCGGGATGGTTCCCTATGTTGATCCTAAAAGCTTTAACAAACGAAGAAATAATAATAGCCAAATATTTTCATTAAATGAAAAAAGCGATGTTTACAGTCTTGGCGTATTATTATGGGAATTATCTAGTGGGAAACCTCCTTTTTATACTGAAGGTGAACAATATGATGTTAGTTTAATTTTGGAAATTTCACAAGGTCTTAGAGAAACAGTTGTTCCTGACACGCCCGAAGAATATGTAAAAATTTATACTAGTAAGTAAAATCTTAAATTTGTTATAATTTAAATATTGTTTAATTAATTATATTTGTGCTTTAGAATGTTGGGAGGGTGAGCCAGATAATCGTCCCACTACATATCAAGTAGTTGATTTGTTAAAAGCAATGATTACAAAAACAGATATAATTACGGAAAATCCTCCACTATTAAACGAGCAAGAATTTAGCGAGATTCATTTAAATACCAATAATTTGGAATCACAAGGAGAATTATCCCAACTTATTCAAAATTTCGATAAAATGAACACAAAAGAAATTGATAATAGAGCAGTATCAAATAAGCAAGTAAAACTTCCAACTGAAAAAGATTTTAACAGAATAGTTGATGAAACAAATGATTTAATTTTTAAGTTATATAATAAAGAAATTGAATGGTATTTAGTAAAAGAGCAAGTTATTGAATATTTTAATAAATATAATACAAATTCACAAGAAATTTATAATTGGTTATCAAATAATCAAAATAATTCAATTTCAATTTTTTTACTTGGATATTTTAATTATCTTGGAATTAAGACAAGCCGAAATTATGAGAAAGCATTTAAATTATTTATTAATGCATCAGAAAAATATCATATATTAGCACAATCTTTTGTTGGTGAATGTTATCGATATGGACATGGAACTAAAAAAAATGAAAAATTAGCTTTTGAATATTATAAAAAAGTGGCTAATATTAATTTCACACGTGGACAACTTAGAATTGGTTATTGTTATGAAAATGGAATGGGTACTGAAAAAGATTTAAAAAAGGCTTCTTATTGGTATGAAAAAGCTGCAAATAATGGAAATATAATAGCAATGCATAATTTAGGTGGATATTATTTAAGGGGAGATGGTGTTGAAAAAGATTATAAGAAAGCTTTTGAATTGTTTAAGCAATCAGCCGAAGGAGGACATTCAGGTGGAATTGTAATGTTAGGATATTGTTATGAAAAGGGTGTTGGAACTAAAATTGATAAGCAAAAAGCATTTTATTTATGTCAAAAATCAGCAGATTTAGGTTATGTGTCAGCACAATATAATCTTGGTGCTATGTATGAAAATGGAAATGGAATTACAAAAGATATAAATAAAGCGATTTATTGGTATGAAAAATCTGCCAAACAAGGATATCAAAAAGCACGAAATAGATTAGAAATACTTCAAAAAAATAAATAATTTATAATAGTAAATTACACTCCTGCGCAAAAAGTTTAGGACCACTCTATTTTTAATTATATTAAATAAAATTTTATTCTTAGTTTTTTTTAAAAAAAATTCTTTACATTGTAATTTCTTGAATAAATATAAAAATTATCATATTGATATTTATAAATCATATAATACAAGATTTTTTTCTCAATGACGAATTTTTAACTTTTCAGTAGAGTGATTACAAAAAAATAAGTAATATAAGATTATATTTCAAATTTCGTAAAAATCGAATCAAGAAAGATCGACAATATACAGTATATATGAAAATCATTATTTCGATAAAAAAACAACATTTTGGTAAAGAGCAGTTTATTGACAAAACGCGTAAATCAAAAAATAAGAAATACTTTAATCTACAAAGTCTTCAAAGTCATATTTATTTTGGGGGTAATACAATAGATTACTATAATATTGTTGATTACGGTAGTGTTTCGTAGTATTATTTTTATTATCTTTGATGTTGTAGTAGTAATTAAAGGAGTTGTGGTGTGTTTTTATATAACATTACCGAAGTCCATACGAATAGTAGTAGTTATGCGGATAGTTTAGTGAACCTATTTGGGTGAGCAGGATGGTAGATAGTTCTTTTGAACATAAAATCTTAAGTCCCTAATAATATTATAGTATTTGTTCGATCGTGTTCTTTACTAAATGTTATATAATGTAGATCTTTTCCTTTTTTGTAATTTTTCTTATTTCTAAATAAAGTTGACTTCGTTAAAAAAAAAAAATATATATAAATTGTTGATCCTTAATTTCTTGATAACTAACGTTTTTAATACATGGGATAACTTGCCACCGGGATAGTGAAAGAGTACAACAACACAACCGATTATATAATACTTTTTATTATAAGGATGAGGAAGTTTTGTTAAGAAAAATATTACGGAGTTCTTTGAACAGTATGCTTCAAGCGAGCGCAGCAACGATATAAAATCATGTGATCTGGAAGAGAAGATACGCAAATTGAAAACTAAGGTAACCGACAAGGAACAAATAATATTGAAAGAGAGCAAGAGATAACAAGAAAGATGAATTTTTAGTGCATCAAATAGTACAAATGACAAAATTAGTGGAAAGTAAAAAGTTACGGAAATGGAAATTACAAAATTGGAAAATAGTAACAGGGAGTTAGAAGTTGATGTAACAGTCAAAGAACGAACAAATTTAGAGAAAGAAGAAGAAATTCGAGAACTAGAAAAGAAGAAGGAAATAGACACGAGTTTATCTAACAAAAAAGTTAAGGATAGCTTCAAGTCAACAATTTTGAACGAATAAGCTGGAAATATTTTTGTTGAATACGTCGAGGAATCACATGTTGATGTGAAAAAAAGTGAGTCAACATTGTGCTCACTTGAAATTTTTCGTTAGGAAAGCCACTCGTGGAACGGTAGCTAATTGGGATAGTGTCCATATGATAATCATTTGTATGTATTTTAAAATGAATATCATTGGTGCCGATATTTCGATCGGCAAGTTTAAAAAGGAAACTTTTAGATCTGCGGATTTCGTATATCTTGTTACAACCAGCCCGATTAGGACTGGTTACATGAAATTTGTTGAACGAGATACGGAAGGTTTTTCATTATTTACTCTCATCTCTCTCGGAGGACTAAAGGTAAAGAAGAGACCACCGAGTGGTCCTCTCCCCTCAGGTTAAAGGGTTTTTCCAAAAAAAATTTATTTACTGCGGAATTTTAACAAAAAAACGGAAAGGGGAGAGAGTTTTTTTCTCGATTTTCATGGGTATTGGTCGGATGAAGAGAATTTATTATCAAAGTATAGGTCACGTGGAGAGAATGAGCATAAAACGAAGTTATAAATATAAGTCGGTCAAGGCTTAAACTTCGCTTCACAATAATCTATGAAGGACCAATATCACAATTAACAAGAACGGTCATCAGCATTTTTTCCGGATGTTTGATTCTAAGTTAACACCACGGGAGATAAATAAAAAATTTTGTTGGCAAGCATGTAAACAAATTTCTATGGGAAATGAGATAACGGATGGTGAAATTGTGAAAGAATACAACAAGAAATACGGAGGCTTTTTCGGAAAAGTTAGGATCAACAAATTGAAATATATCTTAATATACTTTAACAACGAAAATGATATGATGAACGCGATATACAAATCAGGGATGGAAGATGAGTTAGGAAAAGGATTACAATTGATCAAGATGAGCTTATAGGTAAGGACGGTAATTTCAGGTCTCGGAGGATCCACAAAACGAAGCCAGACAACAAGGTATCTGACAAGTCGAAAGATGAACAAACTCAAGATACAAGGAATAGGTTACGGGGTCCGAAGGAACTTGGAAATGACAAGGTTATAACTTTTAATAAATTGAGTGAGGTTTTTAGTGATAGAATAGATGAATTAACGATAATCAAAGGATATCAACGGATAAGTTATTAAAAGAAAAGAAAGATGAAAAGGTTATAAATGAAACAAAAAGCGTGTTGCGACAGGTCAGGTTACTAGGGGGATTGTGAGAGTGATAATGAATAAAATCTTTTAATGATAGATTATAGTACTATATTAGACGAGATTCAAATTAGCTTAGGTCTTCTATAGTATAGATTCAAATTTTGTATTAGATACTTTATTAACATAATGTATGTATGTACGTTGACTTTGTGGTTGATTACTTTGGTAATTTTTTATGTTTACTTAAAAAATTATAATATATATTTTTTTTGAATATATAAATAAGAATAAAACTTTAATTAATATAATCAAAAATAAAATGGTCCTAAACTTTTTGCCCGGGAGTGTATTTCTAATCATTAAATCAAATCATAAATCAATTAAATAGTACACTACATTATTTTTTTTAATTTAAAAATAGCGTAAGATATAATAAATAAATCTTTAATAATCATTCTTATCGACAGTATATTTTTTATCATCAAGTTAACTTGAATATATATACTTGTATAGGAAGTATTTGGATCAGATTTTCTGCAAAAAGTTATTTTAATATTAGTGTAAGTTTCAATAATAAATTTTAAACAAACTTCACAGAAGATACTTAATATTTTTCACTATCAGATGTTTTACAAATATTTTTTGTTTCATTATTCACAGTTTTCAGATTGTTTCTTATTCCTTCGTTCACAGAAAATAACGAAGTTCATTTGAATGGTTTATACAAAGTTGATCATCCGCGATTAAACTGTCAATAAAGAGACTTACTACTCTGTCTTGTACTTTCTAAGTGCTTCTAAAGTTAACTTTCAAAACTTTTTCAATGGAATTTTATAGTCCACAAAAGACACAAGACCCATTATTTCGCTTGCAAAAATCTCTTGCCATTGCAATTGAGAAGTTTAAACATAAAGTCAGATCTGTTAAACTTAGTTGAGAAAGATTTATTAAGCCAGGACCCAGAAATATATATATATAGGGGTCAGGTGAAAAAAATTTTTTACTATGAGCTGTATGCATTTTTTCAGGGCCAGAATTATGATAATGTCAGTCGGTTACTATAATAGGAAATAAAATTCTGACTGGAATTATCAAAAACTATCATTTTTTTAGTTCAAAATACGCAAACTCAAACCTAATTTGAATTTAACATCGTTATCTATTTGTCGATCACATTAAATTAATCACATGACAAATCAATTAGCCAATCTATGTTTCCGTTTATTAAGTCTAGATAGACGTGATTGCATCAGAACTTTTTAGACATTCCTCTTCGAATGCAACCTCATACAATCTTTGAAAAAGGACTACACCATTCAAGGCCATCCATGCTAACAAGTTATTCAACGAATGGAGAGCAATATCAACAAAAACTATGACATGGTACAAGTTAAGATGCCTATAAAGCAAACAATCATAGAACACTCTTTACATGCCCTAAAAGTTCGATGTATTTTAAAAAATTTACTATTTCAAAATTAATTAATCCCAAAACTCGAAAAAACAGTTAAAGAGATGTGAAAGACATAATCATTGTATCTTTAAGACGCAAAAAACCAAACCAATTACTGACTTGAAGATGTTTTTACAAGTCGCAATCTTTTCTTCGTCCTATATTCTATTTGAAATACAAATTAAATTCAATACCTACACCATCAGAGTATAATTCTTACACCTTATTTCTTTCGCCAACAACACACGTAACCAAATAGAAAGAGCTAGATCAATCTTAGACAGATCGATCGTACGTATTTTCAACCTCAAGTTTGCCCAATTTATCCTCAACACCCAAACAAACGAAAACATTCCTATTCCTAATTGAACTCCTTCACCACAAGCTGTCCGATTAGACAATTTACCTTTTGTTCCTCAAGAACCACTATTATGCACCATTAGCTTCCACTTGATTTTCCCATATCAGATAATGAAGCCGCTTATAAAAGAGCCAAAAACCAAAGAAGCCCAAGACGACGCAGTAACAAAAAAAAAATAGCTGACAAAAGACAGGGAAGATTCTGAGTGGTTTGGGCACGCACCATTTCGCCTTTAGAAATCTAAAGTTGAGAATTTAACGCAATTTCAAAACTTTTGCCATAATACAAATCTTCGAATATCTAATACTGAAATAAAAATTTCAAAACGCAAGATCAAAAACTGGTCTGATTTCAACTTTGCTTACAATCTAACGGCAGAAATAGAATATTGTTCAAACACCTCAGATGATATGAAATTGCTTGAATTTAGAACAATTAAACGCAATATAAAACGGACAGTGTCCAACTTAGGGATTGGAATCGAAAATCGAATCTTTTCAAGATTTTTCTTATAGACGACCAACCTAACTTTGAATCAGTTTCTAATTTCAGCAAAAATAATCAGCACTTGGCCGTCATGAAAAATTACTTTGGAGTCAGGTTAACTTATATGTAAAAAATTGCTGAGAATCGATTCTCGAGAATCGACTTTACTAATCGATTCCAATCCCTATTTCAAAGAAGATTTGCCTTTCGATGCTCTGATGACCATCGACATCCTTCTTCATGTCAATCTTAAATTTTTTATTTTATTTTACGTATTCATTTTAGTCATCATTAACACTAATCGTAGACAACCCATACTGCATTTTTAATTTAAAACAACTTAGAATAGTGTGACCTGACAGGATTTACGTAAGGCATTCCTTTTTTAGGTTTGAAAGAAAAATCCAGGCTTTGATAATATAGCCACCTAAGACGGCACTTCCTTATGGAGGCTTTGTAGGTTATCAAAACTAGAAGTAGATACGAGTCATTAATATAACTTAGATAGTTTGATTTCTCTTATACTTAGTTTCGATAATAATAAATAAATAATATCAATAATATTTTTAATTTTTATCAGTTAATTTTCGATGATAATATTTACCACTTATTTACCAAAGTATTACGAATTCGAAAAAGTGACATCAATAATTTCATGAGATCGTCTGAATATATATATATATATATATATATCACATCGTCAGTTTTATTCTAGCAAATCACAGGTTTCTGCAATGTATTTCTCTTTTAAATTATAATTTTTTCAAAATTCATATGAAGATTTGATTCATTTTTCCGAAAATTTAATTAATTAAGAATAAAAAAAAGATTTAAAATTTTTATATGAAAGTAATATTTTTATAAAATATAAAAATATTATAAATCACGTTCCATCACACACTACTATCTGAAGTAAAAAGAAGTCGTCGCTAACGTACAATGTAAAATCCAACCCTATAAAAAATTTTCAGAAAAATGATCACGTGTCTTGGTTTCTTCAGAATAAAAACTAGAAAAATGATTATTTATCGAAGTTTTTTCCAGAATTTTTTATAGGGCAAAATCGACTAACTGAAATAAACGTAATCTTATGTGATTTTATATTATTGAAGCTACTACAGTCAACTCTTAATATAACGAAGTTGGCGTCCGGCCTTCGTTATAGGAATATTCGTTAATATGATGGGAAAATCTGGTATAACCCGGAAAATTTTTGTATATTATGGTATATTGTCGTATAATAATTGTATTTTATAATGCAAAAACGCAAGTTACACAAAATATCTTCGTTATATTTCGTTATAAAAAAAAATTCGTTATTAAAAGGGGCATTTTTCATATACGGTTTATAAAATTTACTTCGTTAAACGGTATACGGCATTTAATAGTAAAATTCGGTATAATGAGATTTTTTTCATCTGTACCACACTGAAGATCCGTTATATTGTAAAATTCGTTATATCAAAATTCGTTATAAGAAGAGTTGACTGTAGTATTGTTTCTAGCTTAGATTTATTACTAAATATCTATGAAAAAGTAAAACACAATTATTTTTCAATATATATTTGAACACTGAGATTAATTACACGCAAAGAAAAAAAAAAAGATAATTTAAATAATAATAAAAAAAAATATTTATCTATTTTCTACTCGTAAATGTTTTAATTTAATTCACATCTTGGTAAACGATTCTTTGATTAAAAATCTGCCAAACAATATTTTTTTTCAAAGACGAGTTACTATAAAATATTAAAATTTAATTTACTTCGTTTATAATTTTGTTAAAATTTTTTTTTTTTTTCTGTAACCGACAAAAATTTCGCGATCATGTGATCGAGGTTAAATGTGTCAATTTTTATTCACTTTTTATTTGTCACCGGATATTTTTACGTGTTGCCGTGCCAAAAATCACGTGATCACAAAATTTTAGTTTTGCGGTACTGCAGTTGATGTACAAATTGGTGAGTGACACTGTGCGACAATAATCGGAGAATAAATTGCATAAAATACTTAAATTGGAGTTATTTTCGTTGCAGTGCGCAATAAAATTTTACAACCTTGACCGTTCAATTTTATCATTATTTAACCTTTTTCTGTCTATATTATTATTAAATATGTCTGATAATAAACAAATACAAAATAGTGAAAATACAAATGAATGGATTAATTGGATTGAAGAAGCTATTGATAAAGAACATTTAAATTATTATGAATATAACCAATTTACTGACATTCAAGAAATTGGTGCTGGAGGTTTTGGAAGAGTGTACCGTGCAAATTGGAAAAATACCAAAAAACAATTAGCGTTAAAATCTTTTTTTAATCTTAATAATATCACCATGAAAGAAATTGTTTGTGAGGTAATTAATTATATAATACATTTTTTTTTTACAATATTTTTTTTTATCCAGCATATATTATATTTATTTTTAATATTTGAATTTATTTAGTTAAAAATTCAACGTAAAGTTGATTTTCATGATAATATAATTCGTTGCTGTGGAATAACAAAATTTGAATCAGGTATTAATAAGAAAGATACTTTAATAAATAAAATATTCCAAATTTTATTCATAAAATTACATTTCATTAATTGTTTCCTTTTTTTTTTAGAAAATCAAATTAGCAATAATTATATGTTGGTAATGGAATACGCCGACGGTGGTAGTCTTCGAAACTATTTGAAAAAAAACTTTAGTAAACTCACTTGGGACGACAAATTCAATATGGCGTACCAATTAGCTTACGCTGTATCATGCTTGCATAATGAAGGGATCATCCATCGTGACTTGGTAAATTTATTTATTATTATTTAATCATTGCTCGTAACACTATAGTATTTGCATTTACTCATTTAATATATGTTTTTTAATAGCATTCTGGCAATATATTAGTTCATCAAAACACGATCAAATTGGCAGATTTTGGACTATCAAAAAGAATCGGAGCTTCATCCAATTTTCAATCCAAATTATTTGGAATGGTTCCTTATGTTGATCCTAAAAGCTTTAGCAGACGAAGTAATAATAATAACCAAATGTATACATTAAATGAAAAAAGTGATGTTTACAGTGTTGGCGTATTATTATGGGAAGTATCAAGCGGACGACCTCCTTTTTATGCTGAAGGTGAAGAATATGATGTTAGTTTAATTTTGGAAATTTCACAAGGTCTTAGAGAAACGGTTGTCCCTGATACACCTGATGAATATGTAAAAATTTATACTAGTAAGTAAAATTTTAAATTTATTTTAACTTAAATATTTTCTAATTAATAAATTATATTTGTGTTTTAGAATGTTGGGATGGTGAACCTGATAATCGTCCTACCATATATCAAGTAGTTGATTTACTAAAAGCAATAATTACAAAAACAGATATAATAATGGAAAATCATCAATTATTGAATGAAAAAGAACTGAATGAGGTTCCTTTAAGTACCAATAATTCAGAATCACGAGGAGAATTATCCCAACTTATTCAAAATTTTAATGAAATGAATACAAAAGAAATAGATAATATAATAATGGAAAATCCCCAATTATTGAATGAGCAAGAACTTAATGAGGTTCCTTTAAGTACCAATAATTCAGAATCACGAGGAGAATTATCCCAACTTATTCAAAATTTTAATGAAATGAATACAAAAGAAATTGATAATATAGCAGTAGTAAATGAACAAGAGAAATTTTCAACTGAAAAAGATGTTAACAGAATAGTTGGTGAAACAAATGATTTAATTTTTAAACTATATAATAAAGGAATTGAATGGAAATTAATAAAAGAGCAAGTTATTGAATATTTTCATAATTATAATACAAATTCACAAGAAATTTATAATTGGTTATCAAATAATCAAAATAATTCAAATTCAATTTTTTTACTTGGATATTTTAATTATTTTGGAATTGAGATAAATAAAAATAATGAGAAAGCATTTAAATTATTTATTAATGCATCAGAAAAAGATCATATATTAGCACAATTTTTTGTTGGTGAATGTTATTTTTATGGACATGGAACTATAAAAAATGAAAAATTAGCTTTTGAATATTGTGAAAAAGTGGCTGATAGAAATTATGCAACTGGACAATTAGAAGCTGGTTATAGTTATGAAAATGGAATAGGCATTGAAAAAGATTTAAAAAAGGCTTTTTATTGGTATGAAAAAGCTGCAAATAATGGAAATATAATAGCTAAGCATAATCTTGGTGATTGTTACTTAAATGGAAATGGTGTTAAAAAAGATCATAATAAAGCTTTTGAATTGTTCAAGCAATCAGCTAATGGAGGATATTCAAGTGGAATCTTAATGTTAGGATATTGTTATGAAGAAGGTATTGGAACTAAAATTGATATGCAAAAAGCATTTGAGTTATATCAAAAATCAGCAAATTTAGGAAATGAGATAGCACAATATAATATTGGTACTATGTATGAAAATGGAAATGGAATTACAAAAAATAAAGATAAAGCGATTTATTGGTATGAAAAATCTGCCAAACGAGGATATCAAGATGCACAAAATAGATTAAAAATACTACAAAAAGAATCAACAATTCATAAAATAAAATCTTTATTTTTTAAATGATAAAATGTAAATCAATTTTTTTTAATTTTTAATTAAAAATCATTCTTATCGCAAGTATTTTATTTTTATTTTCAAGTTAACTGAATATATATATTTTTCTTTTAAATTAAAACGCCCGTTCTAGGATTACAAAATCCATGAGGATTTGATTCATTTTTCCGAAATATTTTTGAAATGATTGTATATATGAAAGAAAGATAATGGTAATTAAAGCAGTACTTTTTATATTCAAAGAAAAAAAATAATAATTTAAAACTTTATGTAAAAGAAATTTTTACAATATATAAAAATATTATAAACCACGTGTACAAAGTATTTTTCACATAATGGTAAACTTGAAATTAAGAATTAATGAATGTGACAAAACAAAAAAAAACCAAAAAAAAAAAATCCACTGCTTTCGCACTTTATGATAATAGTAACTAACTACGACTCCGAAAAGCCAGAAAAGTTTTATAACACCCTTAATACTTTTTTTTAATCACTCAAACCCTTTTACTACTATTGTATTTTCATTACAAAAAATTCTTAGTAGAGTTTAAGGAACAATAACAAGTAACAACTCACAAACATGAAAAGTTTTGTATGATGAATAAATTTAAATTTTGAAATATAAATTGTAATGTCAAATTTACGTAACATAATATTTGAAATATAAACTGTAACAACGGTAGTGTTATTTGTGTTATTTACATAATATTTATATCTAATCAATTTGGAATATAAACAATTATTAATCACTTCAATATATTTGTGGCAATTATTTATAACGTTTTTCTAACGTTTCTTTACTAGTTCTGAATACAGCGGTAAAATCTTGATAAAGTTACAAGTCTTCAAGAATTAAATACTACCTTAAAAAATTATCAGTTTAAAATATTGAAAATAAATCCCTGAACACAAAAAAATTATTAGGGAAGATACTCATTTTTTACTTACAAATTGCAAGTTACAGGATATTGATCATATTGGCAAAAGGTTCTGAGTGAATGGAGTTCTCTCCTTCCACCATGTAAGTCATTATTTTGATAGAATTTAAATTTTTTTTTTTTTTAAAGAAAAATATAAATTTTGATAAGGCCATACAAACTTGATTTTATGGTTTTCATGATATAAAAATTTCATCAATAACCCGGCAACCCGGCTTTTAATTTTTTTTTTCAAAAATTTTATATGCGAAATTTTTTTTCAATATTTAAAAAATTCTCACCCGGCATAGCAATAATATAAAAATTTTTTTTTTAAGACTTAACAAAACTGACCCGGCCGGACTATGAAAACCATTTTTACCACTTTGTGTCGCCTAATTGCAATTAATAAAAAAATTTTTTATTAAATATTTGTATTTCTTTTAATTAAATATAAATTTACATTTTCATTACTTTCCTTCCCATTCATATATTACTAATATAACCACTTTATAATATATAAATGAACGTGCAAAATGTCATAGGAAATTGAACTAAAGGAAAGTTAATTTGCAATTGAGCAAATATATTTTTTTTATTTCTTGTTTCAAAAAGCAATTAGTCTGGGTTAACGAAATTTTGTCAGAAATCATATTGGTCCAAAATTTTTTTTCTTAAATAAAAGAAGTTATTTGATTATTAATTATTAAGTAGATGTCATTATTGCTAGGGTATCCAGGCTCGTGCAATGCAAAATAAAAATGCTAAAATAATATAAATTACGCAAGATTTATTTTATCTTAAAACTAGCTGAAATCTGTTGTGTTGCAACAGAAATAATAGAGTTCAAATCAACATGATGAAATTTCTGATATAATTTAGGAAAATTAGTTATTATCTGTTATATAATATTAATTTAAGAGTTTTTATTTATTTATAATTTGTTGAATGATAAATAAATTCTTGATTAAAATTTAATATAAAATAATTATAATAATAAAAAATATTAAAAATAAGTATTAATTGTACTAATTGTTTAAAAAGTATATATAATTTAGAAAATTAATTTTTTGGCTGGATATTTTTTAAAAATCATATTTATTCTAACTAAAAAAAATCATATAAAATATATTTATTCAATAAAATAAAATATCTATAACGATTACATCGGTACCGACCCAATCCAAACCTAAAGGGCAGAAGAACAAAAATAAATTAATAAACTGGGAATGGATAAACCAAACTTTTTCGTTAGATATCCTGAAATGAAAAATTTAGTATTTTTTATTTTTATGGATTAGCTTTTACATTTAACCTAACAATAATTTCCGATTTGATCAAATAAACACTCGTATATTATTAGTGCAGTATATTGTTAGTGCAGATAAAATTAACCTTTAAATCTTGTTTTTTTTCCATTTTTAATTTATTCTTTTCTCTTTTTCGTAATAAAAAGGAGTTGGCTTAAAATAATTCAAAATAAAAATGGAAATCACTCACCATTGTTGCTTTATCTTTTTTTCACTTAAAAAAAAAATATTCATCTCAAAAATCATCATCTTTTTGCAAAAGAAAATTCTCAATATTTCATATATTTCATTTTCATTTTAATTAATTACTTATATTAATATTTTTATTAATGTTATAATAGTCGTTATGGACAATTATAACATGAACCATAGAGAAATACAACATTCAAGTAAAGGTATAAAGCGTAAAATTTCCTGATATGGAATTTCTATAGATTCAAATTAAAAATATAATATATTTTAAAGTATTAAATAGTAATGAATTTTATTATATAAAATGATCAATATTAAACTTGAAGCGTGATTTTATATTTCAAAATCTTACTAACTAGGAAACGGAAACCGCTGTTAAGTCCTAATTGCCATTTAATTACTAATATTTACTGAGGAATGGTCGTAAAAAGTTTAGCTTTCAATAAGCACGCAAATAGACTAGTAACCTGCACTTCAGTAGTCTTGTACGGCCATCATCCAAGAGATATTGGAATTTTTTAATTGCAGATTAATAAATAACGAAAATTCAATATATGATATGAACATTTTTCCTGTATTAAAAATATCATCAATATTTGAACGTCTGATTGTAAAAATTTTCAGGACGATTTGGAAAGTAACATCATACGAATAAGAAAGGTTATTGGCTCAACCGTGTTGAACTTCATAATAATGATAATAATGATAATATTAATCGTTTACAGCTCTTTTGTCCAAATTGGAATTTGGAACGTATGGTAATCACAGCATGTAATTGTCATTTAATCTATTGAAGATTTTCTCAAGCGAAAATCCCGGTATTATTTGATTGTGAATAATCAAAATACAAATATTTAAATGGAGCATCTCTTTTTTCTTTCTTTTTTTTAAAAAAAATTAATTAGTTAATAATATAAACCAAAGTTTATTTAATATCTATTTTGTAATAAGTGAAAATGACAGATTCAGCCGCGCTGTAATGGATCGTTCGGTTATTACTTATGATGATTATTCAAAGAGAGGATACGATGGATGCTCTCAATCGGATCAAAATGTTCTTTATCGATCTCATTTAATTGGCGGTAAGTTCCAACATTTAATGAAGGTGCGTGTTAATTCAGGTTCATTAAATTTTGACACTCTAAGTGCAAGTTCTTTTAAAAAATGATGATATACCATTAGGTCAAAAAATAACAAACTATCATCGTCAACATAATATTTTTGAAGACAAACAAATGTGCATGATCGTTAAAGCAATGAACGGAAAACTGTAGAAATTGAAGTCGAGTCAATTGATACAATTGATCAATTGAAAGACAAAATTTATGAAGGATGTATACCAGATCAGCAAAGATTAATCTAAGCTGGTAGGCAACTTGAAGATTCCCGTACTTTGGCGGATTACAAAATAAATGATAGGTCCACGTTACCTTTAAAATTAAGATTAAGTGGAGGTGGTTGTCTTCCCACCTTTTTTATTCGTCCGAATATGCTTGCCCCAAGATTTTACGCAAATTGATGATAAAGGTTTAACTTTTATGCGAGGAAATTTTGAATATAAGCGACCTTGTGGTTGGAAAAGAATTGCTCTCAATGTATGAAGATAACATTTGGCTTGGAGTTGATGAAGAAAAGCAATCTATAACAAGATCAGTACAAAATGAATGGTTAGGTATTCTTTGATATGCATGTATTTTATTTATTTATTTAATATCTTTATGTGTTAATATAATATTTTATAAATTTAATAGTTTATCCTGGAACTGCTAGAAATAACTGCAAATCGATTGCTGAAGATTAGTATCGCTTGTGTAAGGGTAAACGATTTGCATTTGGACATTGAACTTATTCTACTTCAGATATTGATGTTGCATATTTATACGCTACTAAATTTACTCATGAAGGAAATAATTATAAATCGTGTTTCAAAATAGGATTAATCCAAACGGCTTAGACAAAGTTTCGAAGGAAGAAACTGGAGTTGGTGAATATTGGATTTCACCTGTAATAGCGATTATTGAGATAGTTTTGAATAAATCATGAAAAAAAAAAAATAGATTGCATTACTTTTTAACATTATTCAAATGTAAAAGAGCTTTTTGGAGCGTAATTTCAGTACCGCTGTGGAAAATAAATTGATTTCCATTGTTTAATAAGCAAAGTCATTCAGGGGGTTGAAACTATTTACATTTCAATTTTTATGACTATGGATAAATACTCATGAAATAAGTATTTTTCATAGTATTAATTCTCGATATCATATAAATTTGAATGTCTTATTTTTTATTATAAATGAACAGACATTCCATATATTTTACATTTTATAATCCTAACTCCCCTTTAAACATGAAACTCTTAATGACGAAAGTATAAAAATCAGATTAACATAAATTGTTACTATAATAGTAATATTCTAATTTTGGAATTTTTTTTATCCTCATTGATACGTATAATACAAATAACGTTGTCAATAGCGCCAAATAATTTTTTAAAAACTCGGAAGCGATTTAATAATTTAAATATCTGATGAAGATTCTGATAAATATTCTAATTTGGAAAGCATCAGCCATAAAATTCTTACTGTGATAAAGTTATACTAGTGGAAATAACTGAATGATATGATAAGTTTATCAAAGACACAATTTATAGTCTGATGACCGGTTTTATAATTTCAAAATTCTTGAGTAGGTACCATTTTGATCGATTTGAAGACATAAAACAAATTGGTGATGATGGATTTGCAAAGTATATTCTGCAACATGGAATGACGGTAAATCAGAATATTATAACAACATGATGATAGTTAGAAAAACAAGAGCCTCGTCCTATGAAAGTTAAATGGATCACAAAATATGTCATAAATGAGACATGTTTAATTAATAAGATAAACATATATTTATTATTAATGACATAGTAATTTGCTTAATTTTGATGTAAATGAAATCTTTAAAATATATTGGGAACATTTACAACGACTGTTAGATCATTACGGTTTCATGGAATAACCAAATATGATTATTTTAGAATTTGCTAATAAAAGAAATTTAAGAAGTGATCTTTCAAGTAATTTCAATAAAATTTCATGGAAAACCAAAATTAATTATTTCAGTTGTGTAGATTATTTCCTGTTAATCCATCTATTATTACTTCATACTTTGATGATGGGTACTATTGACAATATCATTTCAATATTTAATCTTATAATTAATAATTTTATTATCAATAGGTAATACAAATAATAGAATATGTTTTATTTTGAATTCTTAAATTTTACATTAATTTTATTCCCGTTTATTCATGATAAATAACAGATGAATATCAATATTAATGAGAATGGGTTTGATTGTTATTTACATTTTTCTTCATTTATTATTACTTTTTTAGAATTATTATTTAAATTTATGTGTACAAATTGCAATCCTTATGACTTGAAAACAATAAATAAAATGCTAAAACCTGACCTTTATGTTAATCATAGAATAAGATATTTATTAAAATACAAAAAAAAATGTAAACATCCTAAATGTAATCATAATCATAACCACTTGTTGTACGAACCAGGATTTACATACATATTTGAATCCCAACGCTAATTTGAGATTGATTTATTCTGCTCTTCAAAGTTCAAAGTTAAAGACACTTAATAATCTTCGTTTTTTATCAAATTACGATAATTGCATTTGCTTCATCTAACTGAGGTGAATCCAATTTTCAAAATTTTATATTCCTGCGACCATTAGGTTATGATAGAATTTTAGACATTAAAAATAACATATACTTAAGATTAAGCACCTCTATAACAAAAAAAGGGTATTTAATAACGGCCAAATACGGTATATTACGAATTTTAATCGATCGATTTAGTATGACGATTTAAATAACATGAGACGATATAAAGTATATAACGATTTAAATAATGCGGAAAATAAATTACCAAATCATGATGCACTATTCCCTCATTATGTAAACATAACACAACGTGAGCCAACAGATACGATAAATCACATTTATCATTTTAAGTAAAGTTTTTAAAATTCTTCAATTAGTCTTGAAGGGTACCTCTATCAGCCAGCATATTCTATTACTAATAAATAAATAATTAAAAATTATTAAAATTTAAATAATATATAAATATACCTTATTCAAGAATGCTTTCTGAATTTTCATTTTTGGATAAGTCTGGATAATTCTCAACTGTAAATATTCATAATAAACTTTTGTGGTAAGATTATGCACTAAATTTTTATCTTTAAAATATAAATGCGCTGTTTTTAGTACATTTAAAAATGTAGAAAATACAGTAGATAACGTTATATTAATTAAATTATATAATTTTATTAGAATACGTACCAAATTATGTTAATGTAAGTGCATCATTACATTTAAGTAATCGTAGTACGGTACCTAAGCAGATTATTAAAAGAAAACTACTTAAGTATAATTTAAACAATTTAAACAAACGTTTACTAAATTTAAGTATATAAGTATATTTAACGTACTTACTTGGCTGAAACATAGCCGCACTAATCTATCATTATTAATCCATCACTACTACCTTGAAATAAAAAGAAGTCATCTCTAACGTACAATGTAAATTCAAAATCGACTCAATGAGATAAGTGTGTTTCTATATTATTGAATCTAGTATTGTTTCTAGCTTGGATTTTGTTTATGAAATATAAAAGTAATTATTATTCAATATTGTTTGAATACTAAGATTAATTACACACAATTTTAATACTTTTTTTTAAAAAAAAATTACTAAATTAAATCACGAATAAAAAAAAATTTTATGCGTAAATTTTTCTATTTTCTACTCGTAAATGTTTTTTAATTTAATTCACATCTTATTTTGGCAGATTTTTAATCGAATCGTTTTTACCAATATTTTTCCAGCAGGCTCGTCTTTCTTTTAAATATTTTATTTTATATAATTATAAATTATTAAAACTTATGTCAAGAAAATGGAGTCAACAAAAAAAATTACAATAAAATAATAATTAATGAACAATTAAAAAAATAGTAGCAAAAAAAGTACACTTTTTTATTAGTTTATTCAACAAAATGTATAATAATAATAATAAATAATCAAAAGTAAAAAAAAATAAAAAATTAATTAAAAAAGATTGATTTTCGAAAAAAAAAAGATTATATAAATAGGTATTGAGATAAAAAACAAAAATGAAAAAAAATAATTGAAAAAAATTAAGCCAAATAATTAAAAAATACTTTTTTCGGGTTGAAAAAAAAGAACCAAAAAAAAAAAATAGAAAAATAAATTATAAAAAAAGAACAATATTAAGATAAGTATTAATTATACTAAAAATATTTTATTTATTCCTGATCACCAAAAGGTGAAAAAGCAAAATAATTTTTTAAAAAATTATTAAGGAAAAAAAGATATTCAGCAATGTCAATACGATCACTGATCCAAACCTAAAGTGGAAAAGAACAAAAAAAAGGGAATCTTTAAAGAAAAAAGAAAAATAATTAAATAATTAAAAATCCGGTTTAAAAAACCGTGAAAGAAAAAAAAAATATTATAAAGAACCCAGACTTAAAAGAACCGGAAGAAAGGGAAAAAATTTTTTAAAAAATTCTGGCCGCCGTCATCTTGGTTTAACCGTTACAAAAAAAAAAAAAAATTCCAGTTTAATAGGAAATGAATAAATTCAGTTTAACCATCATTTAAAAGTAAAAAACCAAAGGGAAAAACATAATTATGACCTTCGACAGCAATCTAACCATAATAAACACAGAACAGATCAGGCGCAGATACATCACGGGGTTCCATGTTACACAATTCAATTATTTATATTTTAGTTATCATGTCATTTATTGCGGTACTGCGGTTAATAGAGATTGTGTGACAATAACTAGAGAAAATACTTATAATGGGGTTATTTCCGTTATTCCGTTAACGTGCTCAATAAAACTTTACAGCTTTTTTACTATTTTATTTTTGCATTTTTTAAACTTTTTCTGTCAATATAATGATTCAGTATGTCTGATAATACTAAAAAGGTGCAAAATACCGAAAATACAAATGAATGGATTAATTGGATTGAAGAAGCTGTTGAGGTAAAGAACATTTAAATTTTTATGAATAACCAATTTACTAACATTCAAGAAATTAGTGCTGGTGGTTTCTGGAAAGTGTACCGTGCAAATTGGAAAAATACAGTAAAACAATTAGTGTTAATCACGTCATCATGAAAGAAATTGTTTGTGAGATAATTTATTATATATAATACAATTTTTTTTTTGACAATGTTTTTATTAGCCTATATTATATTTATTAATTAACGTAAAGTTGATTTTTATAATAATATTATTCGTTGCCATGGAATAATAAAATTTGAATCAGGTATTACCGTAGTATAATACTTTAATAAATAATATATTTCAAATTTATTCATTTCAATAATTATTTCTTTTTTTTTTAGAAAATCAAATTAGTTATAATTATATGATGGTAGTGGAATACTCTGACGGCGATAGTCTTCGAAATTATTTAAAGGAAAATTTTAATAAACTTACCTGGGACGATAATACCTTATGGCGTACCAGTTGGCTTGCGCTGTATCATGTTTACATAATGAGAAGATTATCCATCGTGATTTGGTAATTATTATTTTAATCGTTGTTGGAAATTCAATGCTTTCATTTACTCATTTAGTATATACTCTTTAATAGCACTCCGGCAATATATTAGTCCATACAAATTGGCGGATCAAAAAGAATCGGAGCATCATCCAACTTTCAATCTAAATTATTTGGGATGACCTTTATGTTGATCCGGAAAATTTTAGCAGGAAAAGAAATAATAATGACCAAAGTATTCATTAAATGAAAAAAGTGATGTTTACAGTGTTGGAGTATTATTATGGGAAATATCTAGTGGTCAACCAGGACCCAGAAATATATATATAGGGGTCAGGTGGCGAAAAATTTTTTTACTATGAGCTGTACGCAGAGACTTTTTATATGAGTAGTACGCATAATTGACACCTGATATTGAAAATCCTGC